CTGCAGCCATTTGGGAATAAGCCTCTTTCTCCCCTCCCCCACATTGTTTTACCTTTCAAAAAATATAAAATTCTCTTTAAAAAGAAGAAATTATTTCATTCTATATAGTTATACCATCTATGTAGGCATAGTTAGGGGAATCTGTTTTAAATTGACTCTGACTTAACCACTGTTAATTTTCTTTTTATTCTGAATTAAATCTGAGTTTATTATGGTATAAAATATTTACAACATCAAACTCAAATTTGTAAAACAGAGTACATTCAGAGAAATGTTGCTTAGATTCCCATCCTCTCCACCTCATCTCTTTTCTTTTCCTGTAGGTAACCATTTGAAATAGATTTTTACTTACTTTTCATTGTTTTTGATGTCATTTTCATATTCTTTCTCCTTCAGTGAAAAGTTGCACATTATATACACTGTTCTGCATTATTTCTTACAAAAAACATAATTTGAGAGTTACTCTAGCATATGTGGAATTATTCCTCATTCCATTTATTTATTTCTTTATTTAGAAGGTAAATGACCAGAGAGGAGAGAGAGATAAATAATCTATCCCTTGATTCACTCAGTCCAAATGTCCACAACAGCTGATGCTTGACAGAGCTAAAGCTAGGAGGTAGGCGCTCCATTGGGTGTGTGGGTTGCAGGGTTTCAAGTATTTAAACCATCATAAGCTGCCTCTCTGGTGCATTAGCTGCAAGCTGGATTGAGAGTAGAGTAGCCAGGATTTGAACTTGCACTCTGATATGGATGTTGAAACAGGTGTTTTCGTCTGCTGCCTCAATGCCTGCCACATCTTTCATTCCCTTTTGTTGCTACATAAATCTCTGTTGTATGGGTCAGGATTTGTCATATTGGCCCAAGGGACATATTTGCTTTAATGCTATGTGTGTGTATGAATATATCTGAGAGGCAGAGAGAGCAGGCATGTGTGAGAGCTCCTATTTGCTTCTATTTACTTCTCAGGCCTAAAGTGATGGCTACTGGAGCATGTCCAGCACTGGGAGCTGGACTAGTCTAGGCCTCTCATGTGTTAGGAATCCACTCACTTGAGCTGTTACTGTTGCTTACCAGGAAGCTGAAGTGAGGAACCACAGTTAGGAATCAAACTTGTACATTCTGGTGTGTACTTTGTTGTCTTAACTACTATAGTAAATATGACACACCGCCATATAACTACTTTATTTCTTCTTGTCTCTGGGGGAAGGAGAGAGATAAAAGGGAAGCCATATCAGCCTTTCAAATGTCCCAGTACTCGCGGATGGGGAATTGCCAGTATCAAACCATGGTCCGAATGTGGTATATATTACAAGGGTTCTGCCTGAGTGGTTTGGATTGTTGCTGATCCAAGGATGAGGCATCCCTCCCAATGTCCATTGGCTGACATAATCAACCTCAAGTCTCTTTTCACCCACACTTTTGCTGTCTTCGTTTAGCTGGGGTAGCTGTCCAATCTATTTTGTTCTCCTTCCTCTGCTGTGGTACCCAGTGTGCTACCATATTCTCCATATGCATCAGGGTTTGTGTCCACTTCTTCACCTTTTTCACTTGGAGGTAAACTCGAGGATCTGGGTCAGGAGACCCGAGCACCACTGGATCTCCTGCTCCAGGGTTCATAACCCTGATACCTCAATCAAAGGCAGGCCCCAGGACCAGCAGGTGACCCAAGTCCTGCTGGATTCCCCACCCCCTGGTGCTCACAAATCTGACACCCACCTCACTATTGGGCCCCTGGCCCCAGGCCAGGCAACCCAAGCCCCTCCAGATCTCCTGCCTCGGGGCTCATATACCCACCACCCACTGACCCCAGGTTGTCATAATTTGCCTCACTTCAGCATCCACTATTGTGTTGCACAGCCTGGCTCAGTCCAGCTTTCCCCCAGTTACAGCTCCTCCTGGTGGGTGCTGCCGCCTAGCCCAGTCCAGCCAGATCCCTGTCCCAGACCCAGTTTGAACTGGCTGGTGTTGCAGCTCAAATCGATCTGGCTCCTTCTGCACCCTATCCTGATTCTCAGATTTACCAGTGGATGTTATGAATTGGTCAAGCCTGGTCTGTCCCCAGACCTGATCCATATGTATGCTGGCGGGCTGGGATGCTCCTTGCATTAGTTATTGTAATCATCTGTAGGGACTGCATCCTCACGAAGGTGTTCCCCAAACTCCTGCATCGGATCTCCTCTTAGTGGCAGATCCTTGTGCACACTAATGGGTCCTTGGCCCAGGTTGACTTTGTCTACCTCTTGTTCTGGCAGGAATAGTGGTCTTGCTCAACTGGCCCACACCCATTCTGGTTCTTACTGTTGGGTGCTGCAGCCCAGCCACACCTGGTCCATGCCCAAACACAGCTTTTGCATGGTTTAGTGGGAGTCAGTACCTAGCCCAGCCTGTTTTACACCCACTCTGGCTCTCGCGATAACCCTTGGGTGCTGGAGTCTAGCCGTCTGTCACTTCCCAGACCCAGTCAGCACCTGCACCAAGGAAGGCTATAGCTATGTCCAGTCCAGCACACTGCTCTCAATTTAGCTCTTGTGCTCACCAGTGGGAAACCCAAACAGCTGGAGCATAACCTTAGCTCCCCAGCTGTACCTGTTCACATCCACAGCTCTTGGGTGTGCTACCGGAAATTGCAGTTCCACAGGTGTGAGACCACATATCCCCAACAGATTCTGGTACCAGACCTGATTCTTTCACATGTTAATTATTGTCATGATCCATGCTAAGTTCACCCTTCCCCTGTTCTGACTGTCCTTGTTTGGTACTGTGATCTTGCCCTGCCAAGTAGTTCCCAGCCTTAGCTTTAGTGTGTGTCAGTGAGTGGTGCTTGGTGATGGTCAGTGCTAGCTAGCCCAGCTCAGAACTCCCCCATATGCTGGTACTTGGATCTGACCGTTAAAGGCCCTCCTGTTTCCCCTCTCCAAACTGTTTGTCTCAGTCCCCTCACTTACCTGTAGGTACAGTGGCCTTGTCCATGGAAGTCCCTAAGCAGTAATTCCTCACCCAGGCATGAACACTCAGATCATGCTGTGTTACTGGTTGTCCTGAGGGCTTGATTCAGCGTCGTTGGTGGCCAGGGCCTCCCACCTGACTCCTTTCTTAAATTTTTTTGGGGGAGGAAGCTCCCAATGCGATGGCACAGTGGCTAAATTCTTGCCTTGATTACTCCAGATCTAATATGGGCACTGGCTTGTGTCCTGGCTGTTCCACTTCCCATCCAACTCCCTGCTTGTGGCCTGGGAAAGCAGCAGAGGACAGCCCAAGACCTTGGGACCCTGCACCCATGTGGGAGACCTGGAGGAGACTCATGGCTTCAGATTGGCTCAGCTCCAGCCATTGCAACCACTTGGAGAGTGAACCAGCAAATGGAAGTTACTTCTCTCTCCTTTTCTCTGTAAATCTGCCTTTCCAATACAAATAGATAGATCTTTAAAAAAAATTTTTTTTTGAGAGACAAAGAAAGCTCTGATTTGTTGCTTTACTTTCTGAATTCTAGCATTGCCAATGCTGAATCAAGCTGAAATTGGGAGTGGTTACCAAATTACTTCAGCATTACTTATTATTTCCCTTGTTGCACTTTGCAAAACTAGAAGCAAAACCAGGATGAAATTCAGGCATCATGATGTGAAATGTGGGCTGCCATCTGACAACCTCCACCACAGGTCAAATATCTGACCCCTGAATTAAATGTTTTTTTTTTCTTACATTTGAGGATCATTGAGAGATGGAAATTGTCGTCTTGTTAGAAACAGACTGTTTTGGGGCCCGTCACCTTGGCCTAGCAGCTAAAATCCTCCCCTTGAATGCACCGGGATCCCTCATGGGTGCCGGTTCTAATCCTGGCTGCCCCATTTTCATCCAACTCCCTGCTTGTGGCCTGGGAAAGCATTCGAAGACGGCCCAAGGCTTTGGGACCCTGCACCCGCTTTGGAGACCCTTGAAGGATCTGGGCTCCTGCTTTGGGTCAGCACAGCACTGGCTGTTGTGATCACTTAGGGAGTGAATCAGTGGACAGAAGATCTTCCTCTCTGTCTCTCCTCCTCTCTATATCTGATGTTCCAATAAAAATAAAAAAGTCTTAAAGAAAAAGAAATACTGTTTTTAATACTCGTTGTTTCTTGCTGACTGCATCAGATTAAATACTCATTAAGGATTAATGTAAAGGTCTCCCAAGATTTAAAAAAATTTGAAGTTTTATACTTTAGTAGGTGGGGGAGGTTTTTTGTTTTTTTAAGATGTATTTATTTATTTGAAAGGCAGGGCTAAAAAAAAAGAGGAAGATACAGAGATCTTACATGTATGTGCTGGTTTACTGCCCCAAATGGCTGCAATAGCCAGAGCTGGGTCAAGCCAAAGCTAAATGCCAAAAGCTTCATGTGTATCTCACATGAGTGTAGGGGCCCAAACACTGGGGCCATCTTCTGCTCTTTTCCCAGATATATTAGCAGGGAGCTACGAAGTGAAGCAGTTGGGATTCATTAGTTGGCAGCTTTATCCACTAAGCCATAATATTGTTCATAATATTGTTCCAGGGGAAAAAATTTTTTTTAAAGATTTATTTATTTTTATTGAAAAAGGCAGATACACAGAGAGAAGAAGAGACAGACGATTGTTCAATAATTCACTCCTCAAGTGGCCACAACAATTCGAGCTGAGCCAATCTGAAGCCAGGAACTTCCTCCAGGTCTTCCACGCGGATGCAGGGTCCTAAGGCTTAGGGCTGTCCTACACTACATTCCCAGGGAATGCACCCATATGGGATCCTGGCACCTTCAAGGCGAGGACTTTAACTGTTATGCTATCACTCCGGGCCCCCAGGAAAACATTTTTAAGTGTCATAGATTATGCTAATCTTCAGTCGGATTTAGGAACCATTGTAGATGATCACATTGTGTTTACAATGAAGTTCTAGCCCTGAGAATTTTGTAGGGCTTGTCAGTAAATTATATCAATTACTCTTAATAACTTCTGGTTTTCTTTACTGTTTTCTTATTTTGCTACAGTAGTTTATGTCAGCGTGGCTTCATTCACACAGATGAACCAAGGATTGGGATAGGAGTATAAAATTAGAATCAGACAGCTGACTGCCCAGCAGGATGCCATCAACCAACAGAGCGGGCAGCCTAAAGGACCCTGAAATTGCAGAACTCTTTTTCAAAGAAGATCCAGAGAAGCTCTTCACAGATCTCAGAGAAATTGGCCATGGAAGCTTTGGAGCAGTGTATTTTGTAAGTATCAAAAGCTTGATGTCAGTAATGTCAGAGCAAGATCAATAATGTGAAGAGATACAGACTGAAGATTTTTTTAAAATTATACTCTGAAAATACTATTTTGACACCAAGTATGTTCCTTTATACATCAAGAAAACAGTGGATTGTGTGGCAGGTACCAACTGTGTATCCTTTAATTAAATACTGACAGAGTATATACCAGTAGATTGCACAGGTTGAGAGCTTAATTCCCTTAAGACTCTTTGTCCCCATATGATGTAACATTCACAAGCTCCAGGTTGTATCACCAGTACTTCTTACAGATCAGCTAAAATCTTGAGGTTCTCTACTTTTTATTCTTTATAAGCTAGCTTATAGACTTTAGGGAACCATAGTTACTACTGTAAAGCATATAGACATACAGGTCTGGAAATATCCATAATATAGGACCTTTTGCCCTGTTATACCATGTATATACTGGGCTATACCATCCTCACAGCTTGTTAATGTGTTCTTATTTGCCTTGCAGGAAGTCCCTGAATTCAGTGCTTTGGGTTTTTATGGAGGCTTTAATTACATTATAGTAACTAGTTGATTAAATAATTAACCATTGGTTATGAATTCAGTCTTTTGCTCTTCCTCCCGGGCGTGGGATGGAACTGTAAGTTCTAACCCCCTGAAATTAGTTGTTTTCTCCTGGCAACCAATCCACCATACTGTGGTTATCCATGGGTTTTCCAGAATTCATTTCATTAACATAAGCTCAGATATGGCTGAAATTTGTTTGTTATAACTGACAAAGGACTGTCCCTGTTACTACTCTGGCAGCTCTGGAGTAATTTCAGAAACCAAGAACAAAAGGTTATATATTTTAACAGAAGATATTGTTGTAGGAGATCAAAATATCCCACCCAAAATATATTTCTTTGATGCATATGAGTTGGGTATTTAGAGAAACTGCAGACCTCTTCAGACACAGAAAAGGTTCTGAAAAGCTGTCCTTTTAAAAAGTAATTTATGTCATTTTACATTAGTAAGATAAATAACAGATAAAGGCAGAGCCTTTTTTATTTGATAGTTCACTGCCTTCAGGTTTTTTTGAAATATCTTCCCACTGGAGTAAAAGATTTGGGGTCTGATATCTGGTCAATAAGTTACCACAGATGGATTTTATTGGGAGTGTTACTTGGGAGGCTCTATGTACATAAACAGAATAATAGAACAACTTTTGTTCACTTAGCCCCCTGTATATATTGCTCCCACCACCACCCAACAGCTTCAATTCCCTATTCTATCTGAAGCTCAATGCTGCTTAAACTTTCACTGTCTATCCCTTTGTTGAGACTCCTATTTTGTAAACAGCTCCTGGGTTTTTGCACATTAATAAATTTGTATGCTTTCTCTCCACTTATCTGCCTATTGCTAATTCATTTTGTAGACAAATACTGTTAAACATTCCAAAGGAAAAAAATCAGAACCTTTTTACATAGTAGTTCCTACCTTATCTTCAGAGGATATATATTTTTTTTAAGATTTGTTTTTATTAAAGAGATAGATTTACAGGCAGAAGAGACAGTGAGAAAGAGCTTCCATCCACTGGTTCACTCCCTAAATGGTTGCAACAGCAGCCATTTAACAGTGTCCATGCCTGCATTGTTGGAAAACGCTTCAACAACAATACAGTCAACTTGTGACTGTTCATGCAGGACATCCATTGTAAAACTAGAGGGAAATCAATGTGGAGGGGGGAGGAACCTTGTGGAAGGGCACGGGCAACCCCGGAACCTATAGAACCATATCATAAAACAAACCAAAAAAACTAAGAAAAAGGAAAACTAAGGGATTCAAGGAACAAAAAATTGGTTCTATCAACTAACTGTTTGGCATACTCAGACTTGAGCTTCAGATACCGATACCTCACTGGGGAAAAAATGACAATAATTGTTTAATTCCTGCAGGAATTACCACAGTAATTCAATGAAAATGCATGCAAAGCAATTAAAACATCCACATGGTATACATACGTAATATTCAAGAAATTATTATTCATTTTGCAAGGAACCAATTGAGGATCAATTCTTTTTTTTTTTCATTTTTTATTATATTTTTGACAATCTTTACATAGTTAATTAGGGTAAAAAGGCTCAAGGGCTACAGGAAAGTGGGTAAGACTATTATTTCCACATTGTTTCCTTTATGTATCTGAGGTAAAGGGGGATATTGAAGGAGAAGCCCCATCCAGTCTCCCACCCGCCCCAGATCCTGGATGTGGGGCATGCTCTGAGATACTTGCTCACGTGGTTTTAATAGTTCACCAGTTATGAATCGCTGTCTAACTCGCCACTTCAAGCACGATGAGGTCGTTGAAGAATCCACTGATTGACATAGTTCATCATAGAATCTTCATTTGCCCAGCATTTCGCTGCCAACATATAGCTGAAGTGGTTGATTGACTTGTTCTGTCCTCTGTCTTTTCTTGGTTAGGGTTCTGAGTTCAGCATTTCGATTGGGGAGATCACCAAAGAAACTTTGTCTGAAGTGTTCCCAGACCAGATCTTGTATGTACTTGCAAGTAAAGGGCCCAGCACAGTCTATCACCTCGATTAGCTGCTGGTTGCAATTGCTGGGTTGGTTCTGCTTTTAGCCCTGCCTCCCACTGGAAACAATGGGTATTGCAGTCCAACCTGATTCTGCCCAGCTCATACTCATACCTTGCATAAACCAGCAGGAGCTGCAGCCTAGTGAGACCGACCCACAATCACCCCCACCAGGCCCACCCCCTGTCCCGTTTGCCAGTATGTGCAGCAGACTAGTCCAGTCTGTCCCACATCCCATTCAGTTCTTGTACATGTTGATTGGTATTGAAGCCTAGTTCCATCTAACCAGCTCAACTATCCAACCCACACACATGCTGTGCTTGCGGGTGCTTTTCTGTCTAGCCACCCCAGCCCCTGTTCTGGTTTTTGTGCCCTCCCGTGGGAGTGGTAAACCAAGAGGGAGGAGCCCACTGTTTCCCTCCCAGGTCTCTCTCACTCCCGGATTATGACTCTCCAGGTGGTTCTGTGGTTTGACTTGACAGGATTAGCCCCCAGTGCCAACTTCTGCCAGCTGATGCTGTGGCTAAGCCCAAGCAACGCTTACCCACTCTAATTTTGTTTGCAGCAGTAGGAATAATCAGCGCAGCCTGGCTTTTCCCTGATCTAGTCCACATGAGGTGCACCGGTGTTGTAGCCCTGCTTAGTCTGGTCTGCCCCCATCCCATCTCGCATTCTCCAGTGGGAGTAGCTGTCCAGCAAGGGAAACCCCCCGTATTCCCCTTTTTGAGGACCAATTCTATGACAGGTTGAGGACTTTATCTAGACCTGGACTCAGCAAATGGTTCATGGGCCAATTCCAGCCCATTCAAGCCCCTCACATATATCCATTTTTGTACCATCTGGGGTTGCTTTTGCATTAAAATGGCAGAGCTGAATCCTTGCAGCTGAGACTATGTTGCTAAAAAATTCTAAAATATTGGGGCCAGCGTGGTGACTCAGCAGGCTAAATCTCTGCCTTGCAGTGCTGGAATCCCATACGAACCGCTTTACTTCTCATTCAGCTTCCTCCATATGTCCTGGGAAAACAAGGCCCAAAGCCTTGGGACCCTGCACCTGCATGAGAGACCTAGAAGCTCCTGGCTACTGGTTTTGGATTAGCTCAGCTCCAACCATTGAGGTCATCTGGAGGAAAAACCAGTCTATATAAGATCCTCTCTGACTCTCTTTAGCTCTGTAAATCTGACTTTCAAACAATAAATAAGTCCTAAAAATTTAATTTTTATTGGAAAGACAGATATACAGAGAGGAGAGACAGAGAGGAAGATCGTGTATCCAATGTATCACTCCCAAATGGCCTCAACAGCAGGAGCTGAGCCAATCCAAAGCCAGGAGCTAGGAGCTTCTTCTGGGTCTCCCTTGTGGATGCATGGGCTCAAGGCTTTGGGCCATCCTCTACTGCCTTCCCAGGCCACAAGCAGGGAGGTGGATGGGAAGTGGAGCATTCGGGACACCCTTATGGGATGCTGAAACATGCAAGGTGAGGGTTTAGCCACCTAACCATCATATTGGGCCCTAGTCATTTTTCTAATAGGTACAGTGCATATCCAGTTGGCAAAAGGATAGTTTTTAATAGATAGTACCAGAGTAGCTGGACATTCCTATATGAAAATTAACTCATACTTCATGCCTTATGCTGAAAGTAATTTGAATCGATCATAGAGTGAAATATAAAAAATAGCTATGTAAAACTTCTAGGATTCAACACCAAAGAAAATCTTTGTTACCTTTGGTTATGTAGAGTTCACAGACATGACACCAAAATCATGATCCATGAAAGACAAATTTATAAATAGAAGTTTATTAAAATTTAAAACTTTGCTAACCATCCATAATATGAGTGAAACCTAAGTGGAATACAAACAGTAACAAGTGCCTTCAATGTAAGATTGTTATTTATTTGGTGAACGAACTTTGTTTATTTGGTGAACAAACAATCCTTGTAGGCAGTTAACCTGAATAAGATGTCCGTTAAGATTCTCACATCAGAGATCCTGGGTTCAGTGCCCAGCTACAGCTCCTGATACTAGTTTCCTGCTGATGTAGACATACTTGTAACTCATGTAACTGGGTTTCTACCACTTACTTAAAAAACCTGGACTGAGTTCTGAGTTACAGCTTCCAGCTTCAGCCCAGCTCACTGTTACTGCAGACGTTTGAAGAGTATATTGTTGGGTGGGATTTGTCTCTCTCTCCTTCTCTGCTTCTCAAACGAACAACAAAAAAAAATTGTTTTTTTCAGTATGCTGTTATAGGATACTATAGGCAATAACATTGTTTCTGCAGTAAATTAGATCAATACATCTGTCATCTCCCTCAGTAAGAAGCAGCTGAAAAGTTCCTAATAGCATAGAATTTTATTAACTTTATAATACCGTAAAATTTTATTAACTTTAATCTTAATACTTTTTCATCCTACATGTCTGATATCTTGTGTCTACATTTCTGTGTTTTCTCTTCCCCCTCAAAGCAGTTTTTGTCTCCTTTTTGACATGATAGCTCACTGGTGCTTTTATTCTTAAAGAAGTAATTACCCCCAATTTAATCTGTTAAACTTGTCCCTCCCCACTTTTTATTTTAGGCACGAGATGTGCGTACAAATGAAGTGGTGGCCATCAAGAAAATGTCATATAGTGGAAAGCAGTCTACTGAGGTAGGTTAAATATATATGTTCTTATGTTCTTACTGTCACGTTAGAAAAAAAGACACCGTTTTCAACTGCAGAGAACGATAGGATTTATTATTTTCTTTGACATGCAACATACAGAAAGAAATGTATACAAGTGTTACATATGTCTCATTTGTATACTATGTTACCTAGAACTAACTATAGGATCTATGTATCACTAGGTGTCAGCATCACTGGCATCCCCAAAGATTACCATTTATGCTCTTGATTTTAACTCTTTTCAAGTTTTGTACATGATATTCTATGTTCATTGTATTTTTCCATATTGGAAATAATTTTTGTAGATGTTTAAAAGTTATTTAGGGCTGGTCTTGTGGCACGGCAAGTTGAGCTGCTATATTAAAAACTGATAACCTATGTCAGAGTGTCTATATGAATCCCAGCTGCTCCCTGCCAATGCACCTGGGAATATAGAGGAAGATGGCTTAAGTGCTTAGGTCGCTGCATTTCATTTGGGTGACCAGAATGGAGTTCCTGGCTCCTAACTTTGGTCTGGTCCAGGCCTGGCTCTTATAGCCATCTGGTGAGAAAATGAGAGAATGGAAGATCTCTGTTTCTTCTCTCTGTGTCACTGTATCTATATATATATATATTTATAGATAAATAGATACAACATTTTAAAATGTAAATATTTTATTATTATTTTTTTAAGATTTATTTATTTAATGGAAAGTCAGATATACGGAGAGGAGGAGAGACAGAGAGGAAGATCTTCCATCCAATGATTCACTCCCGAAGTGAGCGCAACGGTTGATGCTATGCCGATCCGAAGCCAGGATCCAGGAACTTCTTCCGGGTGTCCCACACAGGTGCAGGTTCCCAAGTTTTGGGCCGTCCTTGACTGCTTTCCCAGACCACATGCAGGGAGCTGGATGGGAAGTGGAGCTGCCAGGATTAGAACCAGCGCCCATATGGGATCCCAGGTGTGTTCAAGGCGAGGACTTTAGCCACTAGGCCATGCCGCCAGGCCCTAAAATGTAAATATTATTTAATGTCTTTAAAATAAGTTTTAATAGAAAGTAGAACAATCTGAAAAAATACATTATTGCTACTATATTGAAAGGCTTTATTTTAAGATTTTATCAGAAAAATAAAAGGACAGAGATTTCGTCTATCTACTGGCATTCTTTCCAAATGTTTGACGCAGCCAGGATCCAGGAACTCAGTCTAGGTTTCCCTTGTGAGTGGCAGGATCTGAGTTACTTGAGCCATCACCCATTCCCTCCTACAGTGCATATTAGGAGGAAACTGAAATCTGAAATGGAACTGGCAGTGAAACCCAGGTACTCCAGTATGGAATGTAAGCATCCCAAGTGGCACCTTAACCAGTTTAATCATTGTGCCAAAAGCCCACGTCAGAAGGACTTTCAATTTATTAATATCCTAGGCTTTTTCTCCAGATTGCATTTATTCTACTTAATTAAGAAAGCTTATTGATGGAATTTTATTTTATTAAGATTTATTCACTTTTATTGGAAAGTCAGATATACAGAGAGGAGGAAACACAGAGAGGAAGATCTTATATCTGCTGATCCACTTCCCAGGTGGCCACAACGGCTGGAGCCAGAAGCCTCCTTCCAGGTCTCCCACATGGATGCAGGGTCCCAAAGCTTTGGGCCTTCCTCGACTGCTTTCCCAGGACATAAGCAGAGAGCTGAATGGAAAGAGGGGTCACTAGGATTCGAACCAGCACCCATGTGCATGCAAGACGAGGACACCAGCCACTAGGCTACTGCGGCCATACTTACAGATTTTAATCTTTTAAAAATCTGTCTTTCTGGGCCCAATCGCTAAATGGCTCAAAGGCTAAATCCTCACCTTGTGAGCACCGAGATCCCATATGGGTGGTTGTTTATGTTCTGGCTGGTTGAATTCCTAACCAGCTCCCTTCTTGTGTCCTGGGAAATCAGTGGTGGAGGCTCTAAACTTTGGGACACTGCACCTGTGTGGGAGACTTAAAAGCTCCTGACTTCTAATCAGCTCAGCTTGGGCATTTGTGGCCATTTTGGGAATGAACCTGCAGATGGAAGATCTTTTTCTGTCTGTTATATGTAAATCTGACCTGCCGTTCTAATAAAAACAAATAAATCATTAAAAAAAATAACGATGGGGCCTGGTGGCATGGCCTAGTGGCTAAAGTCCTCACCTTGGACGCCTGGTATCCCATATGGGTGCTGGTTCTAATCCCAGCAGCTCCACTTCCCATCCAGCTCTCTGCTTGTGGCCTGGGAAATCAGTCGAGGACAGCCCAAAGCCTTGGGACCCTGCACCCGTGTGGGAGACCTGGAAGAAGTTCCTGGATCCTGGCTTCAGATTGGCATAGCACCGGCCATTGTGCTCATTTGGGGAGTGAATCATCGGATGGAAGATCTTCCTCTCTGTCTCCTCCTCTCTGTATATCTGACATTCCAATAAAAATAAAATAAATCTTAAAAAAAAAGAAATAAAGATGGTAATCTTCATAATATGCATATCTTACAATTAAATTTTAAAATTCTTAAAATTGTAGATTGAAACAAAAATTGTTAAAATTTATTTATTTTTATTGAAAAGACAGATCAGATTTACGGAAAAAAGCATCAGAGAGAAAGATCTTCCATTCAGTGGTTAACTCCCCAACTGGCCAAAACCACCAGAGCCAAGTGGATCAGAATCCAGGAGCCAGGAACAACTTCTGGATTTCCCATGTGGGTGCTGGGTCCCCAGGCTTTGGACCATCCTCTAGTATACATATAACCTGTCAGTGGACATTTGAGTTTCTTTCATCTCTTTCCTTAATTAGGAATTACATTGCTTGAAACATAGTAAACATATTTTAGGGTTTCTGCTGTCATTTCTTTTTGGTGTATGCCCAGAAACAAAATTGCTGGATCATTTTTAAAAGTTTTTTTTTTTTCCCTACTAATTTTTGGACTCTATTTAAGTCCCGGTCAAAGATCCAGTGTGGTAGCCTAGCAGCTAAACTCCTTGCCTTGAATGTGCTGGGATCCCATTTGGGTGCTGGTTCTAATTCCAGCTGCCCCGCTTCCCATCCAGCTCTCTGCTTGTCGCCTGGGAAAGCAGTTGAGTACGGCCCAATGCTTTGGTACCCTGCACCCGTGTAGGAGACCTGGAGGAAGCTCCAGGCTCCTGGCTTCCAATTTGTTCAGCTCCAGCTGATGCAGCCGCTTGGAGAATGAATCATTGGATGCAAGATCTTCCTCTCTGTCTCTCTTCTCTGTATGTCTGTCTTTTCAATAAAAGTTTTTGAAAAAATCAATCTTTAAATAAAATGCATGGAAATTATAAAATTACAGAATTTATTTCTCAACATAAGCCCTGAGCCATTTATACGTAATGATACCAGCCAGTTCGGTCATTGATAAATATAATCATGTTAGAACAGTGTATTATTAAGAAAAATGGGTTACCATTAAAGATTTATTGTGATTGAAAAGCAAAAATAAGTTAATAGGTGCCAAATCCAAACTCCAGGGTGGATTGCTAATGAGTTCGTATACAGAGTTACAGAATTATTACTGTTCAGGACAAGAACTTTATGCAGTGGTTAAAGTGATTCTTGGATTGCCCACATTCCATATCAGAGTTGAATTCAAGTCCTCACTCCACTTTGGATTCCAGCTTTCTGCTGATGCACATGTGGAGCAGTCCATGATGGTTCAGATAGTTGGTCCTGCCTCTGTATAAGGGACCTGTTTGACTTCAGGTCTCCTGGTTTAGGCCTGCTCCAACTTCTGCTGTTGCTGGCATTTGAGGAACAAGCTAGTGAGTGGGATATCTCTGTCTGTCTCTCTGTTCTTGTACATTTCAAGTAGGTCAACTTTAAAGCCGTGAAACATTTTCTGAATTTAGCATTTTATAGTATGAGTTATGCATTTTATATAAGGCACTGAGAACATGTTTTATTGTATTCTGTTTGAGGAATTGTGAAGTAATATAGGAGGCATTGTAATAGTTAAACTTCCTTTTATGCTACTCTGCTCTGATTTAATCATGGTGAAACTTTAAAAATGAGAATAAAAGCAAAAAATAGGAACTTACTTATTTAAGATTCATTTATTTTTACTTAAGAAAACTTATTTACAGAGAGATAGAGAAACAGAAAGGGAGAGGTCTTCTGTCCACTAGTTCACCTCCCAAATGCTGCAAGAGTCAGAGCTGAGCCGATCTGAAACCAGGAGATAGAAGCCAGAAACCTCTTTCTAGTCTCCTACAAGGGGACAAGGACCAAAGAACTTGTGACATGCTCCGGTGCTTTCCCAGTCCATTGGCCTGGAGCTGACTGAGATGTGGAGCATCTGGGACACAATCCAGTGCCTACATGGGTTGTGGCACTTGTGGGTGGAGGAATATCCTGTTGAGCCACAGCACTGCCCTCTCTCCCCCACCCCGTTTGCTTCTTAAGATAAATTGGTTAGAATACATCCTCCATTTAAAAAAACTATATTTATTTGAAATACAAACAGAGAGGGAAGGAGAGACCAACAGAAAGAAAGAACAGAAGAGATCTTCAAACCACTGTTCACTGCCTAAATAGGCATAATGACTGGACTGGGCCAAGCCATGGATGGCAAAAGAACTGATGCCCTTATAGAATGCTTGCACTGCAGGCTGTTGTTTATCTTGTTGAAGCGCAGACTGGAACCTTTTTTTAAAAAAAAAAAAAAAACCAACAAAACTAAGTTTTATTTATTGAAATTGACAGAGTAACATAGTGGGTAAAGCCACCATCTGAGGCACTCTCATCCCATAACTTCCTGTTCAGGTCCTGGCTGCTCTGTTTCTACTCCAACTTCCTACTGAAGTCCTGGGAAAAGCAGTGGAAGATAGCCTAAGTCTTTGTGTCTCTGCACCCATGTGGGAAACCTGGAAGAAGCTCCTGTCTTCTGGCTCCAGGCTAGCCCAGCTGCAATTGTTGAGGCTGTTTGGGGAATAAATCAGTGGATGGGAAATATCACTGTCTGAATGACACTCTCTTCTCCCTTCTTCCCTCCCTCCCTCCTCTTTCTGCCTTTCCAATAAAAGAACTCTTAAGAAACTTTTCTGGGCCCGGCGCAGTGGCCTAGCAGCTAAAGTCCTCACCTTGAACACGCCGGGATTCCATATGGGTGCCAGTTCTAATCCTGGCAGCCCCACTTCCCATCCAGCTCCCTGCTTGTGGCCTGGGAAAGCAGTCGAGGATGGCCCAAAGCCTTGGGACCCTGCAACCGTGTGGGAGACCTGGAAGGAGCTCCTGGCTCCTGGCTTTGAATCAGCACAACATTGGCCGTTGTGATCACTTGGGGAGTGAATCATTGGATGGAAGATCTTCCTCTCTGTCTCTCTTCCTCTCTCTATTTATATATTTGACTTTGCAATAAAAATAAATCTTAAAAAAAATTTTTTTCCCCCTTGGGACCAGTATGACAGCTCAGCAGGCTAATCCTTCAGTTGCAAGTTCTGGTGCCCATGTGGGTGCCAGTTTTTATCCTGGCTGCTCTATATCTGATCCATGGGAGACTGGAAGATTTCTGGTTCTTGGCTTTGGATCAGCTCTGCTGCAGCCATGGTGACCACTTGGGGAGTAAACTGGCAGATGGAATATCTTTTTATCTTTCCTTCTCTCTGTAAATCTTTTTTTTAAATATTTGTTTATATTTATTGCAAAGTCGGATATACAGAAAGGAGGAAAGACAGATTCTCTGTAAATCTGCCTTTAAAAAAAAAGATAATAAAAAGTAATGGTTTCTTTTTTATGGTTTCTTTTTTAAAGATTTTTTTTTACACACAGGCACACACACACACAGATTTAATCCTCTGGTTTATTCACCAAATGACTGTAGCAGCTCGCGCTGAGCCTGACCAAAGCCAGGAGCCAGAACTTCTTCTAAGTGTCCACAGCATAGCATGGACCCAAGCACTTTGAGCAATCCTCTGTTTCTTAACCAGGCACAAAGCAGGTAGCTGGATGGGAGGTGGAGAAACTGGGACTCAAACCAGCACCCTTTAGAATACTGGCATCACAAATGGTGGCTTAACGAGCTTTACCACAATGCTGGCACCAGCCTAACTCTTTAAGGTTGTCCCAGAGTAGTTTAAAACAGAAAGTGTGTCTGGATTTCCTGATAATATCTGTGAGTAAATCTCTTTGTAAATTAAAAAACAAACAAAAAAATCTCTTAGTAAATGGTAGAAGAAAAGGATTTTATACTACTTTTTTTTTTTTTTTTAAGATTTATTTGTTTTTACTGGGCCCAGTGTGATAACGTAGCAGTTAAGGTTCTTGCCTTCAACGCGCTGGGATCCCATATGGACGCCGGTTCTAATCCCGGCAGCCCTGCTTCCCATCCAGCTCCCTGCTTGTGGCCTGGGAAAGCAGTTGAGGATGGCTCAAAGCCTTGAGACCCTGTACCATGTGGGAGACGCAGAAGAACCTCCTGGCTCCTGGCTTTGGATTGGCTCAGCTCCAGCTGATATGGCCACTTTAAAAAAAAAAATTTTGTTTTTATTGGAAAGTCAGAGAGACAACAAGGAGGATCTTCCTTCCGATTATTCACTTCCCAAATCAGCGCAAAGGCCAGTCCTGTGCCAATCCAGAGCCAGGAGCTGGGAACTTCCTCCAGGTCTCCCACACAGGTGCAGGGTCCCAAGGCTTTGGGGCGTCCTCCTAGGCCACAAGCAGGGAGCTAGATGGGAAGCAGGGCTGCCAGGATTAGAACTGGCACCCATATGGGATCCTGGTGTGTTCAAGGCAAAGATTTTAGCCACTAGGTCATCACACCGGTCCCACTACTTTTATTTTGTGTGTGTGTCTGTGTGTGAACTTTTATAGTAACTAGTTAGTTGTTCACTAGCATTTCAAACTCTGCATATAGGAACTTAATATGTGCATACATTTAAGTTTTATTTTATTTTTTGAAAGGCAGAGCTGCAGAGAAAGAAACAAAAAGAAATAGGACTCTTCTATCTGCTGCCTTATTCCTCAAGTTTTGAAAACAGTTTTCCCACATGGTTACCCATGGACTTAGGCGATTTTCCACTGCCATCCCAGGCTCATTAGGAGGAAGGAGGCTCAGAAAAGGCGAAGCCAGGACTCAGACTGTGACTTATATGGGATGCCAGCTGTGTGAGCAGCTGCTTTACTGGCTGTACCACAACACCAGTCCCAGGAACTTAAATTTCAGAGGAGTTTCTTTATTTGAATTAGCAGCATAAACACACTGTAACATTTGGTAGATGAAAAAAGCCAAAACCACAGTAGGTAAACTTCATAGCTTTTAGGTTGTTCTCTTATAGAATTGTAAATTAATAGAGAAATGTTAGACTGAAGAAAAATCACTAAATATGGTATATGTAAATTTCAGCAGCAAGCTTCATATGTTGTGATTGTGAAATTTTACAAGGTTCCTTGCTGATAAATTTCATCAAAATCTAATCTGTTGTAATTCAAAAGCATTTTGTAAATCAAATAATTAAATTGTAAACTATGAATATAATTACTTTTTAAAAAAATTATTTTTACTTGATTGGCAGATTTTGCAAAGAGAATTAGAAAGGTCTTCCATCCTCTGGATCACTTCTCAAATGGCCATAATGATCAGAGCTTGAGCTGATTCAAAGCCCGGAACCAGGAGATTCTCTAAGTCTCCCACATAGGTGCAGGATTCCAGTAGTTTGGACTATCCTCCACTGCTTTCTCATAGAACAGAATCATAAGTGGAGCAGCCAGGACATAGACTGGTGCCCGTATGGGGTTGCAGTGCCACCATTCTCTGGCAACACCAACCCCTAATAAGTTATTTTTTTTTTTTATCAAAAAAAAATTTGACATTTCATCTAAGAATTACAAATTAGGGTGTAGTGTGTTAAACTGCTGCCTGCAACAACAACATTTTGTATGAACAAGTTTTCAGGTTGACTACTTCACTTCTCCCCCAGCCTGGGAAATCAGAGGATGACCCAGAGGCATAGACCTATGCTCCATATGGGAGACCTGAATGGAGTTTCAGGCTCCTGACATCTAATTCTGCCTTCCAAATAAATAAATCTTTAAAAAATTAAAACTAGAGTCCAGCGCAGTAGCCTAGCAGCTAAATCCCATATGGTTGCTGGTTTATGTCCTGGCTGCTCCACTTCCCATCCAGCTCCCTGCTTGTGGCCTGGGAAAGTAGTGAAGGACAGCCCAAAGCCTTGGGACCCTGTACCCTCATGGAAGACCCAGAAGAGGCTCCGGGCTCCTGGTTCCTTGCTTCAGATTGGCTCAGCTCCAATCATTGCAGCCACTTTGGGAGTGAATCAATGGATGCAAGATCTTCCTCTCTGTCTCTTCTCTTCTCTGTATGTCTGACTTTCCAATAAAAGAGAAATAAACAAAAAATTCAAACCAAGCAAACGTTTATTTTGTATCCTTAATTAGGTTGGCTTGTTTTATAGCTTTCTTAGAAAATCCCAATTGATAATTTTTCATTCTTTTTCTCCCCACAGAAATGGCAGGATATTATTAAGGAAGTCAAGTTTCTACAAAGAATAAAACATCCCAATAGTATAGAATACAAAGGCTGCTATTTACGTGAACACACAGCATGGGTTTGTATCTCTTCTGTCTTTGCAATTTTAGTTATAAATTTGGAATGACCTAATTCAGACTGTCTCAGACTGATTGTGTAAGACGTGTGAAGATACCTGAAATATTTTTTTATACTGAAAGAGCAAGGGCACCATTTCCTAGATATCCTATGATCTCCATGTAAAAGGCCTTCCATGAATTTTTGTGGTTGCACTCAGTATTGTGAAAACAATTTTACTCATTGATCTTTTTTGTAGGAATACACTGTAATCTGTTATACCAGGAACAACTTGTAATTCTAAAAATATAAAATTAAGATGCTATTGTGTACGAAGTACAGATTAATTTTGTCCTGTTGTTACTGTTGACATGATGTGGTAGTAATCATATATTGTTTTGTGCAAAATAAGTTGCATCTTTAGGACAAAGATTAAATTTCTTTCAATAGGAATTATCTCTTATTTTGAAAAATAAATAAGTCACAACTAATTATTTTAATATTCTCAACTTACTGTTAGATTTCTAATATTTGGTAAATTTTAATTCAGTTTAATTTCAGTAATAGAGGCTGTGATGTGTCATAATTCAGACTAAAGTTGAAGCAAAAGCAGTGACATTGGCGAGGTTACTACTCTGTGATGGGTCTTCATTTATGAAACAAGGATAGATGTGCGATTTTCCTTGTAAGGTTATTGCAAGGATGTAGTTGGTTATTAATTGTGTTAAGTACCTGGCACATAGGTGATACTTTGTGTTTATTTTATATATTGATTTACCAAATTTCTGAATATATTACTTTCTCAGGTAAATGATGACTAGAGTTTGTTTTACCTTAATTTTCTTGACTTCCAATTAATATTACTTAATCTTAATTAGAGCCTTTATAATAATGTATATTAATGTTTTTATGGCTTTTCTTTCCATATAGCTTGTAATGGAATATTGTTTAGGATCTGCCTCAGATTTACTAGAAGGTATGTTTCCTTTGATAACTAAGAAAGTGTTTTGGCAGGCATTTGACATAGTGGTTAAGATTCCCACACCTCACACTGGAGTGTCTAGTTTTGATTCCTTCCTCAGTTTATGCTAGTATAAGCACTGACAGGCAATGATGATGGTTGTATTAATTGAATTCTTGCCTTTTGTGTGTGAATTCTGGCTTGGATTCCCAGTTCTTGGCTTCCTCCCAGCCCAGTTATAACCATTGAAGGCATTTGAAAAGTGAACCATTGAATGGGAACTTTTCTGTATCTGTCTGTGTCCTTCTGCCTCTGCAATTAAAAAGGATTTTTAAATATGTTAATAAAATAATTTTGCTAGAAATTGTCTAATGTTTAATAACTACTAATAACAAAATTAGAGAAATACAATTTTTCACCTTTTTTAGATTGTGAGCATAGTAGTATGTGCTGTCCTTATTGAATACTATACAGTCAGTAGCATAAAGAGGCAAGCTATCTCTTATGACTTTACAGGCATTTTTCTGGATTCTTTATCATACAATTTGTTCTCTTTCTGTATAAGATCAAGATAGAGAAATGAGAATAAAGGGAGAACATGTGGTAGCTGTCTTTCATAACAGCTGGGATGGTCACATTCCATTTGGAGCAGACGGGTTTGAGTTCCATCTCTGTTTGCCCTTCCAGATGCAGACACCCATTGATGGCTCAAATTGTTACGTCTGTACTACCTACATGGGAGACCTGGATAGAATAGAATTCTGAGTTCTGTTTCCCAGTCTACTTGACAATTGCACACATTCATTTGGGAAATGAATTAGCAGCTAGGAAATTTCTGTCTCTCTTTTTCCTTTTTCCCCCTCTGCTGCTCAAATAATTTTTTAAATGCACGCTGTAGATTTTTTTTTAGACTTACTTGTTTTTTATTGCAAAGTCAGATATATATAGAGGAGGAGAGACAGAGAGGAAGATCCATTCAATGATTCATTCCCCAAGTGACCGCAACGGCCGGAGCAGAGCCAATTCAAAACCAGGAGCACAGGAGTTCTTCCAGGTCTCCCATGTGGGTACAGGGTCCCAAGTCTTTGGGCTGTCCTTGACTGCTTTCCCAGACCCAGCAGGGAGCTGGATCGAAAGCGTAGCAGCCAGGATTAGAACCAGTTTGCATATGGGATCCCAGTGGTGTGTACAAGGTGAGGACTTCAGTTGCTAGGCCACCAAATGGGGCCCAGATCAAATAATTTTTTTAAAAATAATTTCTTTTTTATTTTTGTTTATATCATCATCAAATAATTGTTACGTACTATCTAAAAGAAGAATTGAGATTTACACTTTAACAACTGGTACAACTGTATAATAATTAGAAATTTCAAGAATTTTATCATTTTGTTATAGAAGTTTTTCCTTTCTAAATGTCAGCTTTTCAAAATTGCCCACATATTAGGGAAGTAAATTTATAGGGCAAAGATGTTCTATGTAGTAATTATTTTTTAAATACACTCTTATTTTAAGTTCACAAAAAGCCATTACAAGAAGTGGAAATAGCAGCAATTACACATGGTGCTCTTCAGGGACTAGCCTATTTACATTCTCATACCATGATCCATAGGTAAGTGCTTTGATAATTATTACATATTGACAAACAAATGACTTATATCTATCTGTTCTAGAATTTGTTAACTCTGAAGTTTCTATTGACTACAACCAATTAGAATTATAAGAAATCATATTGTTTTTGGATTGTCGGTGCTTTAAAAAGAACATCCTGATGTGTTTGATCTCTGTTTAAGATACATCTTAATTTATTTACATGTGCTGCTGGATCTTCTCAAATATGTTCACTTCATGGGTTTGTGATAGAAATTGAGTTGTAGAGTCATTTAATTTGCAATCTGGAAGAGGTGTTAAGAATCAGTCTTTTTTTTTTTTTCTTACTTTACATTTGAAGAAATGGGTGCCCCAATTTGTGACTATAATTTCCCAAAGTTTATGTAGATAAGTGGATTAGAGCTAGATGTAATGGTCAGCCTTTTGTCTTCCTGGTAACTTGTAATACCAGATTTGTTCCATTGATTCCAATCAGAGTAAACAAAAGCTACTTAAAACTGTGCCTTTGAGAATTAATCTTTAGTAATCTTTGATGAAAAAAAAATTAGTAACTTTGAGGTTGTCACATTTTGTAATGCTTTTATGTCACTGGTATTGATTTTGGCTGATTTAGAAGAAAATACTACTTTGAAACTATAAGTGAAGCAGTAAAATATGAACCAGTCGGTATTAAACTATGTGATAGGGCCATTGTGAATTAATGGGCTGTCATTTTTTTTTAGAGGAATTATTAAAGCCCAATGGAAATCTATACATAGTAAATAAGTGAATGACAACATTGGGACTTTAACTGAGGGCTGTTTGAATCACAAAATATTTCTAATTTTTTTTTTTACAAAAGAAAGGAAAATAGATTAATTTAGTGTTTGTGTGTAGGACAATACTACAGTAAGAATTGACAGTCAGGAAATTTAGTTTTTCTCTTTAATTTTTGATACATTTAGATACATATAATAGTGCATATTAGACATAGAATCCCATTATAAAAATACTCATAATTTTATTAGATTGGAAATATAATACTTATGTTGTTTCAGAAAGTTGAGTTTCAAACTAAGTCTGAGATTGCTAATATTATCTGTATGTTTTAGAGTTTCTTTTTCTTATGTCTTAAAAACCGTGCTAAGGCTTGAAGATGATACAGTCCTTTTTTAGAAAACCAGCTTTATAGAGGAAATTTCTTTGTTCTTGTTTTATATTTTCCTTTAAAGTGGAGTCTCAAGAATTCTTCACATTATGACATTGTTGTTAGGTAATTAAAGTATATTTTAAAAGCCATGGTTTGTATAAATAAACATTTAAATGTAGGTTATATGCTGTGATCACCTAATTTTCTGTTTATTATTTTTTAGTGGTATTTCTCTTCACTTTCAGAAAATCATTACTCTGTCAGTATGCACACTTGTGTTCTATCTCTTTTATCAACCCTTTATCACAGTTGTTAGATTCTCACATAATTATTTTGATTTCTCTTTCCCTGTCTTGTGAATTTACTTTTTGTCAATTTTACACACAGTCTAATAAAGGAAGATAAGTAATTTTCTGTTTTTAATTCCAGAGATATCAAAGCAGGAAATATTCTTCTGACAGAACCAGGCCAAGTGAAACTTGCTGACTTTGGATCTGCTTCCATGGCATCTCCTGCCAATTCTTTTGTGGGAACACCTTATTGGTAAGCATATTCCTATCTGGTGTTAATCCATCTGACTGAAATAGTGAAACATGGTTGTATTTATTTTAGATGTGGGTTTTTTTTTTTTTCCTTAAAAGCACAATGTTGTTTTTAGATATTTTTATTTTAAACATTATACTTAGTTTTAAATATAGATTTAGTATGCTGCTGCATTTTTTTTTCATGTTGTCCTTGCAATATTTACTTTCCTAATACCTTTTGTATCATAAATTGGGTGTGGGAAGGACAAATTTGAAACAATCATATGGGGGAAGAGATAGACATGGTAAGTGGTAATTTGGGTCTTTTATTTATATTGACAGTATATAACTGTTCTTTAGACAAAGAATATTTAAATACTGAGGTCTGGAGATTTCCCAGTTTTGTTTTTAATATTTTAATGTCAGGAATATCAAACATACTTGAAAATAGATTTTGTATGTACTTATCACCCAGCCCAACAACATCCATTGATGGCCAGGACTGTCTTATGTATTCTCTTCCCTTCATTCCCATCCCATTATTTTGAAGCAAATCCAGACATTATCTGATTCCATTCATAAATAAGTAGGGCCAGACATTATGGCATAAAGGGAAATGCCCCTACTCTGACATTAGCGTTCTATACTCTGCTTGTTCTCATCCTAGCTGTCCTACTTCCAAACCAGCACCCTGCTGCTGGTCTGGGAAAATCAACAGAAGGTGACCCAAGCGTTTGGTCCCTCCTATCCCTGTGTGAGACCTGGATGAAGCTCTATTTGCTGATTTACTCCCCAAAAGATTGAACAGCCAGAGTTGAGCCTATCAATAGCCAGGAGCCAGAAGCTTCTTCCAAGTCTCCACATGTGTTTGCAGGGTCCCAAATTTTTGGCCATCCTGCACTGATTTCCAAGGCCATAAGCAGGGAGGTGGATAGGGAGTGGAGGAGTAGGACCAGCTCCCCTAAGGGATGCTGGTGCTTGCAGGGTGAAGATTTAGCCATTGAGTCATCATGTCAGGCCCACAAGCTATGATTATTTATTTAGTTCTTATTATTGTGGGCAGTATTTTTTCAAGTTGATGAAAGAGGTGGTAACATTAAGGTAAACTTCAATTTTTCAATTTTTTTTTTCAAAAAAATTGATTTTCATAAAGAGATGCTATGACCAAAATATTTGAGAATTGCTTGCTTATAAGATACTAGACTGCAGTTTTGAACAGATGCAGAATACAGCCCTACTTCTTTTTTTTTTTTTTTAAAGATTTATTTATTTATTGGAAAGTCAGATATACAGAGAGGAGGAGAGACAGAGAGGAAGATCTTCCATCCGATGATTCACTCCCCAAGTGAGCGCAACAGCTGATGCTATGCCAATCCGAAGCCAGGATCCAGGAACTTCTTCCAGGTCTCCCACGCAGGTGCAGGTTCCCAAAGCATTGGGCCATCCTCGACTGCTTTCCCAGGCCACAAGCAGGGAGCTGGATGGGAAGCAGCGCTGCTGGGATTAGAACTGGTGCCCATATGGGATCCAGGCGCGTTCAGGGCGAGGACTTTAGCCGCTAAGCCATGCCGCCCGGCCAAGCCCTACTTCTTTGAGATGGTTTTGAATGAGCATGTCAGATGGTGAGAATGCATATAATATTTTTAAAGATTGTTTAATTTGTATGATATTCATAGTTAGATAAGGGGAAAAAGTGAGAGAGATCTTCCATTTGCTGGTTCACTTCCCAAATGGCTGCAGTAACTGAAACTGGGTTGATGCGAATTCAGGGGCCAGGAGTCTGGCCCTATGAGTCTCCCATATGAGTGCAGTGGTTTAAGGACATAGGCCATGCATGCTCTGCTATTTTCCCAGCCACGTTAGCAGGGAGCAGGGTGGGAAAATGTGACATCTGAAACTTGAATTGACACTAAATGGGATGCTGGCCCCATCCATAGGTAATAGATTTACCACTTTTCCACAGTGCCAGTCTCAATATCATATTTTTATTAGTGTTACTGAATGTTACCTCCTAGGTGGACCTTTAGCCTGGTGGTGAAGATAGAGGTTAAAATATCCATGTCCATATCTGAGTATTTAGATTCAATTCTTGGCTACTGTTCCTCATTCCAGATTCCTGCTTGTACAGACCCTGGGAGATAGTAATGATGGTTCAAGTAATTGGCTTCTTCTGACCCACATCTGATACTTGAACTGCTCTTGGATATAACCCTGGCCCATTCCTACCATGTGGGCATTTGGGGAGTGAGCGTACATATGGGAGTTTTCTTTCATTTGTCTGTCTCTCTGAAGCAAGTAAAAGTTGTTAAGATATTTACATACAACCTCTGATGTGCTTATTTCTCATTTTAAAGCTTTTTATGTCGATATATTGACTAGAATTCAAGCTATGTTCTCCATGTTGATGGTTACTAATTTTCAAAGAATTATACATTTTTAAATTTTAAATGAACATTTGATTATTTTTAGGATGGCCCCAGAAGTAATTTTAGCCATGGATGAAGGGCAATATGATGGCAAAGTAGATGTATGGTCTCTTGGAATAACATGCATTGAACTAGGTAAGTATTGTTTCCTATGAATTATGTTTTAAACAAAAGAGAATCCAAGCACTCTGGCCATCCTCTGCTGCCTTCCCAGGCATGTTAGCAGAGAGCTGGATCAGGAGCAGCTAGGACTTGAACCCATCCCAGGTGAGATACTAGGCCACAAGGGAATAGGCTACTAGGCCATAGTGCCAGCTCTGGGGGTAGTAAAGACCAAAGCAGAGATCACTTGGATAGGAAATTGGAAAATGTTCAAGAAAATCAGTGAAATTAAATTTGAGAAGATTGATGAAATGTGGTAAATCTCCTATATAGATCAGGGAAGAAGGAAATCTAAATTGCCATGGTCAGGAAGAAGAAATGATAGTCACTATAGATTTTACAGGCATTAAAGACAATAGAGAAATAATTACATGTCAGTTTCATAATTCAGATAAAATAAACATGTATCAGTATTAAATGACTGCTTTAATAGATGTAGTGTGTTTTCTTAGGAAAATGTTCTTGTTTATAGAAAAATACATATTCATATGTAGAAATAGTGCAGTATCAGGTTAGAAATTTATTCTCAGTTAATTCATTTGAGATAGTTCTTGACGTCTACTCACAGTTTTTGGATTTTTTTTTTGTGTTAAGCTTAATATTAGTTCAAAATGAGAACTATAACATATTTGTCTGCCAGGATTTCATCCTGTATAACTGTTCTTTGTATCAGTGGGCTCCTGTCTCTGTCTACTACCTCGCCATGGAAGATTTGATAAACATGAGCATGAACCTCCTGAGGCCCCAAAACTATCATTTTTGTTGGTAATGGTTATTATTTTAAAGCAGTCAGTGATGGAAATGAGCACTAGTTCTCTTAAATGGTCCATGTAAGTGCTAGTTCAAGGAATGAATCACACATTATTGAAGGCAGTTCAATTTAAAGTAACTTTAGCAACTTTGAAATAACATCACCTGTGATCTTAAGGTTGAAATATTCTTGAGGGCCTGTGTATGCTAGTATACTGCTCTGAGTAGCTGTGTAGCTGTGAGCAAGGTGCAAAGTCAGAAAGAAAAGGAAGAGAATATGAAATCCTCATCCCAAAGTAAAATCCAGTTTCATCCATTTTTATTGTGAATAATTGCTTCCTGATGACTGATCAGGCTAACCAAGATCTTTGGCAGTGGAGAGAAGTCTAAGAAAATAATTTCAATGGTGTGGTGAAAATTTCTGTCTTATTCTGTAATATTGGTATCTGACTATCCTTGTTTTTTTTTTTTAAGATTTATTCATTTATTGGAAAGTCAGATATACAGAGAGGAGGAGAGACAGAGAGGAAGATCTTCCATCCGATGATTCACTCCCCAAGTGAGCGCAACGGCTGATGCTATGCCAATCCAAAGCCAGGATCCAGGAACTTCTTCTGGGTTTCCCACACAGGTGCAGGGCCCCAAGGCTTTGGACTGTCCTCGACTGCTTTCCCAGGCCACAAGCAGGGAGCTGGATGGGAAGTGGGACTGCTGGGATTAGAACCAGCGCCCATATGGGATCCTGGCGTGTTCAAGGCGAGGATTCTAGCCACTAGGCCATACTGCCAGGCGCTTGACTATCCTTTTTATAATGTACAATTAAGCACTTTCCCTACCATGATTAATAAATGTTATCCAGGCTCCATTGCCAAGATTGTTACTCAAGATGCCAGTTTAGGTTTTAAAGATGGAATTCTGCCTTTTGGTTTTTGAGTATATATAGAATGTTGATAGGATACTTTACTAATATTGATCAGACATGGAAATTTTAGAAATCCAAAAATACACATATGGTATAAACCCAGTAATTTAACTAATTAAAAAATAATAAAATTAACAGTTGAGTGCATTTCTGTAACAAGCACAGATTGTAATAGGAAACTTATTTCTTTTACAGCGGAAAGAAAACCTCCTTTATTTAATATGAATGCAATGAGTGCCTTATATCACATAGCCCAAAATGAATCCCCTACACTACAGTCTAATGAATGGTGAGTATTGCTAAGAGGTATATTGCTCAGTATTATATTAATGAAAAGCTGTTCATACTCTGGAATCAATTTTTTTTGTTTTAGTTAGGCAAAATGCGTTACCTGAAAAGACATAGTTTTAATTTCCTGTTTTTTTTTTTTTCCAAAGATCTGTTTCTTTTTATTGGAAAGGCAGATTTACAGAGAGAGATACATAAGGAAAGGTTTTCCATCTGCTGGTTGAAAAGATTTTCAAATAGGCAACAACTGGAGCCAAGCAGATCTGAAACCAGGAGCAAAGAGGTTCCTTTGGGTCTCCCACATGGGTGCAGAATCCGAAGGCTAAAGTAGAATCATCTCCAAGTCTCCCATGCAGGTGCAGCGTCCCAAGGCTTTGGGCCATCTTCTACTGCTTTCCCAGGCCACAAGCAGGGAGCAGGATGGGAAGTGAAACAGCCAGTATATGAACTGACACCCATATGGGATGCTGGCACTTAAAGGTGAAGGATTAGTCTGTTAGCCGCAGTGCTGTCCCTCTTTTCTTGTGATGTCTATATTTCATACACTGTAGCAGTATATGAGTCAGTTTTAGAAAAAAAGATCATAAAATGAATACAAAAATACTAAATTTTGTGGAAAGCTAAATTTTACTTTTCCTTTGAATTTATGATCATGTACAGTCCTGATAATATTGCTAGCAGCATAACATTTTTACATTGTTTTAGTTGAAAGGCAAATCTCTCCTCAACAGGTTGACTCCCCAACTACCCACAATAATCAGGCCTTGGCCAGGATTAATCTGTGAGCTAGGAGTTCAATGCAAGTCTCCCAAGTGGGTGGCAAGAACCCAGCTACTTGAGCCATCACCTACTGCTTCTAAGAGTATATAGTAACACAAACCTGGAATTGAGTGCAGAGACAGGTTTTGAACCCAAGACTCTAATTTGGAATGTGGTATAACTGCTATGTCAAATGCTTACTCCATGATTAACATTTTAAGCATTCTTTTATTACTCAAATGTATAGATTATCATAACCTGTAGTGATAATTAATTATGGAATGGTTTATAGTTAGATATACTTAGCCTTTGAAAATCACTTGAGGAATTTTTTAAGTATTTATTTAAAGCACATTAGCTATTTTTAAATTGAAATATGAAAATGCTTAAAAGTTGATACAAAACCAAATTAAAAGATATTATAAATTTTGCGTGAACTCTTTGAAGATATTAAGACAGTCAAGAGTCTACTACTTACATAAATGTAAGAGATATATAGGGTAGAAGGACTTTTTGGAATGGTTTAATATTATTATATGTTTTTGTTTCATGCTGCTATAATAAAATATCTAAGCCTGGATAATTTATATATATAAAGAACAAAAATTTATTTCTCACAGTTTTGGAAAATGGAAAGATACTGGTAGTTTAGGACATAATGTCGTTGGTTCCGCCATGATGCCTTAAACACTGCATCCTCTGGAGAGGAGGAGTTGTGTTATCCTCTCACGGCCAAGGAGCCAGAGAATGGGAACCTATTGTTGCAGCCGTTCTTACATGTAGTGCCTCCGTGACCAGAAAACCTCCTAATACTTGGTTATATCGGAGACTTATGTTTTAACAAGAATTCTAGAGAGGACAAAAGCATTCAAATATAACTTGGTACATCTAACTAATGTGCTACATTATAAGTATAGTGAATTAGCAGATGATGGAATCTCTGTTTCTGTCTTTACCCTCCAAAAAAAAAATAATAGAATTGTTAACATTTAAATATGGGAGTATAATTTTCTAAAAACTGTTTAAGCTTTTCTTTGGAGAATACTAAATATACACTGATTACCTTAGATGGCTTTTCATAAACTTCTATAAAAATCTTTAATCTTTGCTTTTATTACTCCTTTGATTTGTAGGTGTATTTTTAAAAGAAATAGCAATATGTTCACTTGATACTTTCCTTTACAATAGGTCTGATTATTTTCGCAACTTTGTAGATTCTTGCCTCCAGAAAATCCCTCAAGATCGTCCTACATCAGAGGAACTTTTAAAGGTCAGTTTTTTTTTTTTGAAGATTTATTTTTATTATTTTTTTATTGGAAAGGCGGATATACAGAGAGGAGAGACAGAGAGGAAGATCTTCCGTCCGATGATTCACTCCCCAAGTGAGCGCAACGGGCCGATACTATGCCGATCCGAAGCCAGGAGCCTCTTCCAGGTCTCCCACGCAGGTGCAGGTTCCCAAAGCTTTGGGCCGTCCTCGACTGCTTTCCCAGGCCACAGGCAGGGAGCTGGAAGGGAAGCGGGGCTGCCGGGATTAGAACCGGCGCCCATATGGGATCCCGGGCGTGCAAGGCGAGGACCTTTAACCACTTGCGCCACTGCGCCGGGCCCCCCAGTTTTGTTTTTGTTTCAGAAGTTATTAACTGCTTTTATCATGTCGGAATAGAATATATAGCTAAATATTTAAAATAGTATCCCATATGGGCGCTGGTTCTAATTCTGGATGCCCCACTTCCCATCCAGCTCCCTGCCTGTAGCATGGGAAAGCAGTCAAAGACAGCCGAAGGCCTTGGGATTCTGCACCTAGGTTGGAGACCTGGAAAAGGCTCCTGGTTCCTGGCTCCTGGCTTCAGATCAGCTCAGCTCTGGCTGCACAACCACTTGGGGAGTGAATCAGCGGATGGAAGATCTTCCTCTGTGTCTTTCCTCCTCTTTGTGTATCTGAGTTTCTAATAAATATAAAATAAATCTTTTTAAAAAATGAGAATTTGAATAAATATGCACACACAGTAGCAACAAACTTTTATAATATAGCTAGGAATTATGTTTGTAAAATGTAAGCTATGTATAAAAGCTTAGAATGCAAAATATATTTTGGTATGCAAACTGAATATTATAAATAATGTACATATTAAAGAAAAAACAAAATGGGACTGGATGTTTTTAAAGATTTATTTATTTATTTAAAAGGTAGAGTTAGAGGGGAAGAGAGAGAATTTTTTTCAGCCCCTATGTCTAACCCATTTTGCCACAACACCAGCCCTCTAACTCTGTCTTTCAAAGATTTATTTTTATTATTTTTTTATTGGAAAGGCAGATATACAGAGAGGAGAGACAGAGAGGAAGATCCTCCGTCCGATGATTCACTCCCCAAGTGAGCGCAACGGGCCGATACTATGCCGATCCGAAGCCAGGAGCCTCTTCCGGGTCTCCCACGCGGGTGCAGGGTCCCAAAGCTTTGGGCTGTCCTCGACTGCTTTCCCAGGCCACAGGCAGGGAGCTGGAAAGGAAGCGGGGCTGCCGGGATTAGAACCAGCGCCCATATGGGATCCCGGGCGTGCAAGGCGAGGACCTTTAACCACTTGCGCCACCGCGCCGGGCCCTAACTCTGTCTTTCAAATAAATTGTATAAATGAAAAGGAAATTCCAGGCTGACTTATACTCTCTTTCTCCAGCACATGTTTGTTCTTCGGGAGCGTCCTGAAACAGTGTTAATAGATCTTATTCAAAGGACAAAGGATGCAGTAAGAGAACTGGACAATCTGCAGTATCGAAAGATGAAAAAACTCCTTTTCCAGGAGGCACATAATGGACCAGCAGTAGAAGCACAGGAAGAAGAAGAGGTAATACCTAAAGAATTACTCATATACTAAGTCCTATTTATCAACTTTTCTTATGCAGTGTGCTTTTTCAGGCATTTACCTTTTATTTTATTAGTATGTGTCACAGATTGTATTTTCTTTCTTTTTTTTTTTAAGATTTATTGTATTTTTATTGGAAAGTCAGATATACAGAGAGGAAGATCTTCTGTCCGATGATTCACTTCCCAAGTGAGCGCAATGGCTAGTGCTGAGCCAATCCAGAGCCAGGAGCTTCCTCCAAGTCTCTCATTTGGATGCAGGGTCCCAAGGCTTTGAGCCATCCTCACTGCTTTCCCAGGCCATAAGCAGGGAGCTGGATGGGAAGTGGAGCTGCCAGGATTAGAACCGGCAGCCATATGGGCTCCTGGCACATTCAAGGCTAGAACTTTAGCTGCTAGGCCACCGTCCCGAGCCGAGTGTATTTTCTTAACCTTGGTCTTATATCATCCCAGTTAGGAAGAAATGTTTTTATCTTAGGTTGCAAGGTGTAAACTGAATGCCTTTTTGATGCACCCCAATGTAGGAAAGGCCCTGAGAAGCCATTTTTTGAAGAAACGTGATTCAGCTACTTAGTCTGACCCTCTCAAATTTCTTGGCCACTGAGTCATTTTTAAGCGAATTGTCTAGTTCCTTAGCACGTATTTTTGGAAGTTGTTGAAATTATGAATTCTGAAAATTGACTTTACTTGCAGAGAAGTCAGTAGAAATTTACCAGGCAAGTGCCTTCAGGACAACTTGATTCCTTTTCTTTTAGTTCTACATAATTTAATCCATCTATACTATTATAAAATACCCATGTTACAAATGAGGAAAATACTCTATTTCATTAATAAATAGAAACACATGGGTTCCAAGTTCTATTTATGGATCTGCAGACCAAGTTACTTCTTTCTTGTCTTTTAGGCAGAGTGATAGTAAGAATTTGCAAAAGAAGTGTTAATGTTATTTCCTCACTTAAAATAAACAAACCAAATATATTACATTGTTCTCCTACATAGTTTCTTTTCTTCTTTGCTCTATCATATCTTTCAAGTTTTTGATTAGCCTAGTATATTACATGAGGAATCATCTTATATTCTCCTAAATAGGTTTTCTTCTTTGTGCTATCAGAATTTTACAGAGTTCTGCATCTTTCACGTTTTTGTTTTGTTTTGCATTCCAGTGAGAGATCACTTTGTATCCATTTACATATGTATATATTTTAATTTTGATAATCTTACATAGTTGATTAGGGCACAACGGGTCAAGGGCTACAGGAAAGTAGGTAAGACCATTGTTTCCACAGTAATATCGTTTTTTCCCCTGTATCTGGGGTTAGGGGAGAAACAAAGGGAGAAGCCCCATCACTTTGTGTTCTGAAACAATACATAATAGGTACTTAAAAATGTTCTGGTTAGGCCCTGGATATGAAGCTAAAATAAAAAGGAAAAGTCCCTTTAAAACATACATCATATATTTGTATTTATTATAAATTCTGTGTATATTACACATGTCTGATATGGTAAGACATATTAATTAGAATGTTGGCACTCAGATATCATGTCTGCCTGGTTACTTCAGAAGATTGCTCCTTTTCCTCCTTCTCAAAAAAGCATTTATTTAATGTATTTTAAAAAGCAGAGGTGCAGAGTGAGGGAAATACCTGGTTGAATCCCCAAATGGCTGCATCAGCAGGAGCTGGTGCTGAAAGTGACATTTATTGTTTTTTTGTTTGTTTGTTTCTAAAGGATGAGGAATTTGTTTTAATTGAGAATCATTAGCAATGATCAGAATCTGTATATTCTATGAGATATGTTGTGGATTAACCATTGGATGAGCTTATTTATTATGTATTTGTTCGTCATTTTTATTTGTTTTTCTTTGAATTTCTTGGTCTTAGAAAAATAAAAGGAGTTTTTAATGATCTCAGGCTTTTAAATGATTTTGTGCCATATGGTATTCTAGGTGTTTATATAATCATTATTTCAGAAGATAATACGGATAGTGTCTGAATATATTGCTCTTTTCTGTTAGGAGCAAGATCATGGTGTTGGCCGAACAGGAACAGTGAATAGTGTTGGAAGTAATCAATCTATTCCCAGTATGTCCATCAGCGCCAGCAGCCAGAGCAGTAGTGTTAATAGTCTTCCAGATGCCTCAGATGACAAGAGTGAGCTGGACATGATGGAAGGAGACCACACGGTGATGTCTAATAGTTCTGTCATCCATTTAAAACCTGTGAGTATTTTGATTTCAGTAGAAAGATTTAAACTTTCATTAATAAATTTTCTAACACTGTAAGAGATGGTGCTTTACTTTGAAGGATTTTTTGTTTCGTTTTGGGGGCTTGTTGTCATTAAGTTTTTTTTATTTGAAAGAATTGGCACGTGGCAGACCAAACTCTTGTTTATTCACTACACCACAACACCAGTGACCCAAGCTATGTTTGTTTTCATATTTTTAATTTGTATACTATTTAAGAACTGGAAATAGTCTTTGTAGTTCTAATTACAAGTGACAGCATTCACATGTTTTATTTTTGCTTTTTAAAATTATATCTTTAAGATTTATTGATCAAGCAAGCTGTTTAAATTTTTCTGAAGGTTTGAACAAACTTTTTTTTTACTCCATATAATATTATCTCTTTCTTTGCAAAGGAGGAGGAAAATTACAGAGAAGAAGGAGATCCTAGAACAAGAGCGTCAGATCCACAATCTCCACCCCAAGTATCTCGTCACAAATCACACTATCGTAACAGAGAACATTTTGCTACTATACGGACAGCATCACTGGTATGTACATCCTCTGAATTAGAGAGAATTGTAGTTTTTATGTTGGACTTAGATATATTCCCATAGAAAGACAAAGCTCAGAATCTAGGAATACTAATTCCAAGTTATAGAGACTAGAATGATACTTACCAGGAGCTGCAGGGGGTGGTAAGATAAGATGGGACTAACAGGTTTTGAGGTCTGTTGTATGAAAGAGTAACTGAAATTAATAATAGAATATGTATAATGTACTGATAACTAAATTTCAAATATTAAAAATAAGGCATTAAATCTGTTAAATAATTTAATCATTTTTCATGGCATTCTGTTTTTTTGTTTGTTTTGTTTTGTTTTAAGTTGGTAAAGGCAAATGTTTGGTCTAGTTGTTGAGAAACTCATATTTCATGTTTAGGTTCCTAGGGTCAAAGCCTGTCTCTAGCTCCTGATTCCAGTTTTCTATCAGTGCCAACCCTCGAAAGGATGATGATTGTTCAAGTAGTTCTCCCATCTGCATGGGAGACATTGAATTCTCAGCTCCTTGCTTTAGCCTCAGCCAAAAGCTTTTGGGGACATTTCAAATCAGAATATCAGACATAGAGCATTCTCTATGTCTGTTTCTCTGTCTCTCTGCCTATGAAGTAACAAACAATTACAAAACATGTACCCAGGGCCTGGCAGGATGACTCTAATGGCTATTCCTCCACCTCCAAGTGCCAGCATCCCTTATGGATTCCAATTCATGTCCCAGCTGTTCTGCCTCCCATCCAGCTTCCTGCTTATGGCCTGGGAAAGCAGCAGAAAATAGCCCAAAGTATTTGGCCTCTGTACCATTTTGGGAGACCCAGAATAAACTACCAACTCCTGACTTAGGGTCTGCTCAACTATGACTATTGCAGTCATCTGGGGAGTGACCCAGATCTTTCTGTCTCTCCTCTTTGTAAATCTGCCATTCTAATAGAAATGAATCAGTCTTTAAATTTAAAGTAAAAGAAAACACATACCCAGACAACAGCATGTATGCTCTTGTGCTTAGCAATACTTCTCACAGCCTTCAAAATAGTACAGTTGGGTATTAGTATTCCAAAAATTGCACAGACAATGGAATATTATTATTTAACTGTAAAAAGAAATGATATATTGATAAATATTATATAGTATGGATGAACCTTGAAAACATGCTAAATAAAAGAAGCTGGATACATGTAAAATGACTGTCTTGAATGAAATATCTCTCCATAATGGATACATTCTTAGAGACAGAAAATCAATTGGTAGCTTGGGAATGAATGCTTAACAGGTGTGGACTGAGGTGGTAGATATGTTGTAAATCAGTAAAGGCACTGTAACATAACATAGCAAATGTACTGACACTAAAATATTTATTTAATGAATTACATTAAATGAATTTTATTTCACTTTAAAGATTCAGTTTGTTTGTGAATTTTGTATGTGTTTTCTTTATGGTCATTATTTTTTCTTTTCAAAAAATGCTTGCCTGCCCCAGTGTCATATAAGTTTTATATTTTCCCCTACTTTATGATTCTGCATTTTGCGATATTTAGTTAAAATGATTGTTTTCATTAATTTTTATATACACAGTAAGTGATACTGGCCATCAAGGTTGTTTTGTGTGTGTGTGTGTAAAGCAAATCTAAACAGGATTTGTTTAAAACAGTTTCCTATGAATGAGTTTGAGTTTTTGGTAGCAAATTATTTGAATACACTTGTGTGTGCTCTGGTTTTTACCTCTTCCTTTAATCTGCCTAGCCTGTTCTTGACACCAATGTACTGTCTTGACTGCAGCAGTGCACATTATTGTTTCTGAAGGTTGTTTTTGGTTTTTTTTGGTTCTTGTAAGTCTTTTACATTCCCACGTAAAATTTTATAACCAAATTGTCTAGTCTGTTTCTTTGAAAATCCTCCTGGAAATTTACTTGGAAACTGCTAACATTGAATTATTTTACGTTAGTTACCTTCTTAGTTAAAATTATCATGTTCTAAAATGCTTTTGAAAAAATAAATTTTGTTTTATTTTCTTTTTTATCATCATTATTTTGTTTCTAGGTTACAAGGCAGATGCAAGAACATGAACAGGACTCTGAGCTTAGAGAACAGATGTCTGGTTATAAGCGAATGAGGCGTCAACATCAAAAGCAACTGATGACACTAGAAAATAAACTAAAGGCTGAGATGGATGAACATCGCCTCAGATTAGACAAAGATCTTGAAACTCAGAGAAATAATTTTGCTGCAGAAATGGAAAAACTTATTAAAAAACACCAGGCTGCTATGGAAAAAGAGGTGGCTGATTTAGTTCTATTAATTTACTTATGTTAGCTTGTGACTCTGAAAATTATTCAACATGGCATTTGGTGTTAGGATATGTGTTTCTAGGAACCAAGTTATCTGAGGAAAGGAAAAAGCATTTATGTAACTTGCATAAAGCTTTCTCTTGATTGATGAGAAATCTCACACAAGAAAGATGACTCCTATGCATTTTTTTCTTTCACTAATTTTATGTGTGTGCATACACATGCGTTTTGAGTTTGAAAAGCTAATTTTTTTAAACTAATAGACATAGAGTTGTTTCTTCGTAGTTTTTTAGTGTCTGAATGGAATTTGTCGTACAGTTATTCTTAGGTTTTGGTACCTTGGTTACTGAGGAATTTTTTTTTAATTGTGTTTTATGACACGGTTTCATAGGCTCTGGGATTCCTCAACCCCTTCCCATATCCTCCCCCCATGTTGGATTCCTTCACATTGTTGCAGTAGTACAGTTCAAATCCAGTCATGATTCCTTCATTACAAGCATGTTCCAAGCATATAGAGTTCAGCATCTTATTGTCCAGATAAATTCAACAGTTTCTTGGGGAGACCATCCCTAGTCTGAAAGTAGAGCTGGCAAAATATCATCCTGTCCAATGAAAAGCCACAACATAACATCAACAACAGTTTACAACATTATGGAGTTAATTGACATGGTATTGAGTGACCAATAGGTTAGAAAATGCAAGTTCTTAACCACATCCTGTGACTACTTCATTGACTTTTGAATTTTAGTTTATACACAACTGGCTGCTATACGCCTTAGAATGGTTATAGGGTATTATTCAGCTGTCTTGTGTCAATCTTCATTTTTATATTTAGCAGTTTATAGTATTAAAGCATAAGAGGAATTTCATAAAATTGTCACTAAATGTTTTAGATCTCAAAAGGTTGTTCATTATTCTTTTCTCTGTTTGGAAGCCATCCTTACATTTTTAGTAGCATTTTCATACCAGAGAATAGGTGAGATTAATACATACATAAAATGCTATATATTATAAATTAAGATTCAGATTAAAATGTAACCCAGGACTGGCATTGTGGCATAGCAAGTAAAGCCACAACTTGCAATACAGCCATTCCATATGTGTAATGGTTCGTGTCACAGCTATTCTCCTTTCTGTCCACCTTCCTGCTAATGCCTGGGAAAGCAGCAAATAATAATGCAAGTGTTTGGGGCCCTGCTACCTATGTGGGAGCCTCGGAAGAAAACTTTCCAATGAATAAAAATATTTTTTTAAAAAAGTGGAATATCTAGCACTGAAAACTGTATCTTCGGCTTACCCTGCTACTTTGAACTTATCCACATAATTAATATGATTCATTTTCAAATTTTGTATAGGCTAAAGTGATGGCCAATGAGGAAAAGAAATTTCAGCAACATATTCAAGCCCAACAGAAGAAGGAACTGAATAGCTTTTTGGAGTCTCAGAAAAGAGAATATAAACTTCGAAAAGAGCAGCTTAAGGAGGTATTTATTCTCTAAACATTTACCTCGTGGTAACTCTTTATTACTTATATTTAATGTTACTCAACTCACAGAATTGGTTGTGGTTTTTAAATGAAGGCATTGTTATCAGTTACGCTTAACTGAGCTTTCTAGTCAAGTAGTATCTAAACATAATCAGGTGCTTGCATATACAGTTTTTATTTCTTTTTTTAAATAAAGATTTATTTTTATTGGAAAGTCAGATATACACAGAGGAGCAAAGACAGAGAGGAAGACCTTCTATGTGATGATTCACTCCCTGTGTCCACAACTGTCAGCTGAACCAATCCAAAGCCAGGAGCTTCTTCTGGTTCTTCCACGCTGGTGCAGTGTTCCAAGCCTTCGGGCTGTCCTCACTGCTTTCCCAGGCTACAGCAGGGAGCTGGATGGGGAGTGGAGCCGCCAGGATTAGAACCGGTGTCCATATGGGATCCTGGTGGTGCATGCAAGGCGAGGACTTTGACCACTAGGCTACCATGCCAGGCCCACATTTACAGTTTTAATTGTAGCTTAGTTACATGTTTATTAAGTGAGTCATTAAGAATAAAAATGTGTGAGCTGTGAAACCTAACATTTTGCACTTTAGAAATAAAATAAATGTTATAGGGTTGGCATTGTAAATGAAGCTACTATCTCTGGCACCGACACTCTATATGGCAACAATTTAAGTCAAGCCAGTCTGCTTCCTGTCAAGCTCCCTGATAATGTACCTTAGAAAGCAGTGGAGGGTGGTCTAGTTCTTAACCCATGTGGGAGATCCAGAAAAATCTTCTGGCTCCTGCCTTCAAACCCATACAACTCTGGCCATTGTGGTCATTTAGAGAGTGGACCACATGTTGCAAAACCTCTTTTACTGTCTCTCTTCTCTGTAATTCTGCCTTTCAAATAAACATAAAGGCATCTTTAAAAAATTTAAAATTTACTTTAGAAGAATTATAACAATTTAATTTTATGACAGTTACCATGTAATAACACAGCACCAACTACTATCACATTTTTTTTAATAGGACAATGTGCTGATTATTACTTTTTGTAACTATTTAAAATTTATCTTAAAATTTTTGTTTATATACTTGAGAGGGATGCATGCCATTGTGGGCCTCTTTTTAGGGTGGAGATAGATATGGAGGAAAGTGGGTGGAATAAATGTTTGTTTTTTGTTTTTTGGTTTTTTTTCTCCTGTGTCTACAAGATACAGAGGGGATGGGGAATAGTTGCCCAGTGATGTCTTAGAGACACCCATGTGAGGAACAGTGTTCCAAGGGTGTTACTTGTGTGGTTTTGATAGTTCTGGAATGTTGTTGGCTTTGTTCCACTGTGGTTCAGAAAATCTTTCCCAGGTCTGTTGGCTGACCAGTCTACCTTAATGCATCCACAAATTGTGACACTTGCTGTAAAACTTGGCCAAGAGAGTTGTCCAACCTAGTCTGCTTTCCATCTTCTAATGAGGCAGTTGATGTGCCCTACCGGCCTTGATGAGCTGGCTTCATGTCCCATGTGTTCATCTGGACATGCTCTCTATCTCATGATCATCAGCAGCTGAGGAGGCCCAAGGAGGCCCAGTCCCAATACATGTACCTCATGGTTGGGCCACATATCCTGTGATTTTCCCTGTGACTATGGTTTGTGTCCAGCAGTCTACCTGGGGAGTCCCCCAAGAAACTTTGCCGGAGGTAACTTCAGATTTTACTGTTATACATTTACCAACCAGTACAGGGTTGGTTTCAGTCCATTACCTGCCCCATCCAGTGTGTACATACCAGTGGATACAGTTGCCTGGTCAGTTCCATGCAAAACTGCATATCACCTTTAAACCAACAGATTCTGTGGCTTAGTCTAGCACAGCCTGTCACAGGCCTGGCTCTCATGCACACCAGCCTAGTCAGGGCATCCCCCAATAATCTCGACCAGTTTTTGCATTTGCTGCGGCCTAACCTGTCCCATCCTGCATCCCATCTGGCTTTTATGCACAGCCTGGGTGCCAAGGCTTATCTCAGCCCAACCTGGCCTACACATATACCAGTGGGTGCTATCTTGTCCAGCCTGGTCCACCCCTAGCCCTGGGTTTCATTGTCACCAGCAGGAGGTCCAGCCCAGCAGGAAAGTGCCCATAGTTCTCATACTATGCCCATATCCAGCCCCAAATCTTTCACTTGCTAGGGAGTACTGTAGTACAGCCTGGCATGACTTGCATCCATTTTCAGCACTTGCCAGTAGGTGCTGTGACCTAGCTCAGCTGTCCTGTACCAATTCTAGCTCTTGCTTGTACCAGCGGGTGCTGGGGCCTGGCCCAGTCCTCAGTCCCAGTTCTCATACTCACCCATGTAAGCAGTGGCCTAGCCTCGGAGTCCCCAGTGTTCCCCTATCAGTGCCAGATCTTGCATCTGCTGGCTAGTGCCTATATCCAGACTGGAATGGTCAGGCCCATGGTTTGGTACTTGTCAGAGGATGCTACAGCCTGGCCTAGTGCAACGTGCCCTAGTCCCAACTCTTGCTTGTAGTTACTGCAGTCCTAGCCCAAGTTCAGCTTGCAGTTCACACCCCTTCCTGGCTCCTGTGCATGGCAGTTGATACTTAGCCTGGCCCAGCCCAGCTGCCCCCAGACCTGACCCACACATATGCTAATGAGTGCTACAGCCTTCCCTGGCCTGGCCCATATCCAACCCCAGGTTGCTCTCCCCAGCGGGAGCTGTGGCCTAGTAGAGAAGTTCCCCATGTTTCCCTGCCAGTCCCAGCTCTCTCACATGCTGGTGGGTGCTGCAACCCTGCCCAACATGGTCTGCTCTCACAATCCCTGCCCCTTCCCAACTTTTATGTGTGCTGGTAGGTGCTGTGGTCTAGCCCACCCTGTTACAACCCTGGCTCTCTTGAGTGTTGGTGAGTTCCGTGGTCATATCTGGCTTGGCGCATCACCACTGCCAGCTCTTATGCAAGCCAGTAGATGCTACAGTCCCACCAGGGTGAGCCCACAAATTCCCTACTGCATCTGCTCGCGACAATGTTCTCTCATGTATCTATGCGTGCTGCAGCCCAGCCCCTGCACTTCCAGCAGTTATTCAGCCAAGCCCTTCCAGGCAGACTTCCCAGCCCTAGCTTACATGTGCTGGTAGGTAGCAGGTGATGATGCTTAGCCCAGTACACAAGCACATGTAGGTCGGTTCCTTGGCCTGACCCAGACATGCTCTCCGTCCTCCAGTTTCCCTTTTTATTAAAAAAATAATAAGATTTATTCATTTTTACTTGAAAGGCTGATTTACAAAAAGAAAAAGAGACAGAGAAATCTTCCATCCACTGGTCACTCACCAAATGGCTGCAACAGCTGGAATTGAACTGATCTAAAGCCAGGATTCTCTTCTGGGTGTTGCTCGTTGGTACAGAGTCCCAAGGACTTTAGCCATCCTCCACTTTTTTCCCAGGTCATATGTGGGAGCTGATCGGAAGTGGAGCAGCCAAGACTCAAACTGGCGCTCAGATGTAATGCCAGTGCCACATTTGGGAGATTAACATGTTAAGCCACAGCACCAGCCCCTTTCTAAACCAACCCATTTCATCTTCTTTGTTTACCTACAAGAGTAGTGGCCTTGTTATGGAAGCCCAGAGTTACTCCTTACCCACAAGTGAAGTGGCTGAGTCCATGGAATCCCCTGGAAGTCATTTTGCAAATGTCAAACATTAACTTGGCAGCCCCTACTCTCATATATTCCCCCAGACCCACTTCCCTAAACAGTCTGCGCCGCGCCCCCCCCCCACTGTCACCATTGTGGACCACGTGGTTTGGGAGTGTCTGGAACATTCCCCCACTTGGGCCACGGCAGGCTCCCACTGACATGGTTTCATATCTAGTTGCTTAAACATGTACTGCTTTTGAACTTTTTAAAATAGTTAGCATTAACTTTGAAGAAAACCTTAGATCCAGTTGTATCTATGACCAACTGAAATGTTTAGTTCATATAATTAATTATATGTGACAAATTAATTAATCTTGATAAAGTAAGAGTAATTCTTAAATAGAACAAATACTTTGTTGTGTAAGAATTAGCCTTCTGGGCCTTGCACAAGGACCTAGTGGCTGAATCCTCAACTTGCACCCACCAGGATCACATATGGGTGCTGGTTCATGTCCTGGCTGGTCCACTTCCCATCTGTCTCCCTGCTTGTGGCCAAGATAAATCTTGTTTTAAAAACTAGCCTTGTTGATGTGTGTCGGGGGAGGTTCGTGCTTTACTCTAATGTAGTAAGGTAAGCTTGCACGTGCAGCACTGGCACCCCATATGGGCATTGAGTTAAGTCTCAACAGCTCTGCTTCAATTCACCTCTCTGCTAATGGCCTGGGAAAGCAGTGAAAGATGCCCGAAATATTTGAGCAGCTATATTCGTGTGGGAAAACTGGAAGAAGCTCTGGCGCCTGGCTCCTTACTGGTCCACCTCCAATTTAAAAGATTTATTTTGTTTTTATTAGAAAGTCAGATATACAGAGAGGAGGAGAGACGGAGAGAAAGCTCCTCTGTCCGCTGATTCACTCACCACGTGGCCGCAAAGACCGGAGCTGTGCCAATCCAAAGCTGGGAGCCAGGAACTTCTGGGTCTCCCACGCAGGTGCAGGATCCCAAGGCCTTGGGCTGTCCTCCACTATTTTCCTGGGTCACAAGCAGGGATCTGGATGAGAAGTGGTACTGCCAGGATTAGGACTGGAACCCATATGAGATCCAGGCATATGCAAGGCAAGGACTTTAGCCACTAGGCTTACGCTCCAGGCCTGTGTTTTACTTTTTTTAACAAATTATTGTGTGCTTTGAAGCTAGGAGCCATCAGAAATGTAGAAAGGTATGTGTTTTTTCTAGGTATATGTCTCTTTCCCTGCCTATTAAATGGATAACTCAGCCTTACCCTCTCTATCTAAACATTAGAGAGAAAATGTAATTACCGCTTTAAGTTCACCAGATGTTTTTCTAGCTTTTGTATTAAATTTGTTTATATGTTTGCAGGAGTTGAATGAAAACCAGAGTACTCCCAAAAAAGAAAAGCAAGAGTGGCTTTCCAAACAGAAGGAGAATATACAGCATTTCCAAGCAGAAGAAGAAGCTAACCTTCTTCGACGTCAGCGGCAATATCTAGAGCTGGAATGCCGTCGCTTCAAAAGAAGAATGTTACTTGGGCGTCATAACTTAGAGCAAGACCTTGTCAGGGAGGTATGTTTGAATGACTTGAAATTTTAAATGTTTCATCAATGTAATTTTTTTAAAAACTTTGAATTTTATGGTACAGCTGCATAGGGTCTAGAATTTCTCTATCCCCTCCCCAAATTCCTTCCTTCTGGCTAATTTTTCCCCATATTATTACAGTAATGTAGTCCTACATAAGCAGTCCTAAGTCCTTCATTCTGTTACTTAAGTATGTCCTGACATTGCTGGTACAGACAGTCCAGCATCCTATTATCAAGATATATCCAACAGTTTCATTGGCAGTCCTTTTCTTTGATTTGGAAGTAGAGATACATACTTTGGGTTTGGCGCCATGGCCTAGAGGCTAAAAGTCCTCACCTTGAACACGCCGGGATCCCATATGCACGCCGGTTCTAATCCTGGCAGCCCCACTTCCCACCCAGCTCCCTGCTTGTGTCCCGGGAAAGCAGTCAAGGACAGCCCAAAGCCTTGGGATCCTGCAGCCACGTGGGAGACCTGGGGGAATTTCCTAGTTTCAAATAAATCTTTAAAAAAAAGAGAGAGAGAGAGATATACTTCATTGTATTTTCATATCTGGATATGGTAGTCTCTATTACTCCATCACTATATATTCCCTTAAATGAAAAGCCATGAAACAAAGTCAGCAGCAGGAATGAAGTTAAAAGAAAAATTTTACAGCACCATGAATTTAAGTAACATGCTACTGAATAGCCAATGTGTCAATGAAGAAATGATAAAACACAAAAGCTTTTGGGTGAAATGATGCCACAGTGAAGAATTTGATAAGAGAAAGCAACTATTTCTAAAAAATGAAAATAAAAGCAAAAATATCAAAACACATGGGTTGCAGCAAAAATCATATGGAAAGCATTTTTAATTTTAGAATTTTCATGAAGGCTGCTTTATATCAGAGAGAACATATGGTATTTGTCCTTTTGGGATTGACTTACTTCACTGAGTATACTGGTTTCTAGTTGGGACCATCTAGTTGCCAATCATATTATAAAGTCTTTTTAATGGCTGAGTTATCAATGTAGTCTTTGTTGAAAATATGCCAGTCATGTTATAGTCTATCTTATTTTTATTCCAATGTCGCCTCCTCAGAAATTCCTTTCCTGACTTCCAGATGCTTTTGCTTTCAAATATTCTTTGGGCTTTCTCAAATACAATTACAGATATAATTTTGTCACAATATAATGGAAGTTGTATAAGGTTGGAGACAATGAGGTTTTTTTATATCCCTACTCTCTGACTTGTCATATATTCAGTAAATATTTACCAAATATCTATGAGTGGAAAAAAATAATTTTTAATATAACAAAGTCAATTGGGCAAACTTTGCTTCATTGAACTGCAGTTTGTTCCATGAGACAGGTGTTGCCATTTGACATATTTTTATAACTATATTGTGTAATTAAGCAAATGTAGAAATTGTCATACCAGTGAATGTAATTTTCTTTATAATCTGGATACGTTTGAGCATAGATAATTTTATTATCAACTTGAGGTTAAAATAAGTTTGCAATATGGCATAATTATGGAAATTATTAGTAAAAAAAATTCAGATTGGAATTTTTTTTTAATTTGTTGAATTTTATTGCAAAGTCAGATTTACAGAGAGAGAGCCAGGAGCCAGGTACTTCCTCCAGGTCTCCCACGCGGGTGCAGGATCCCAAGGCTTTGGGCTGTCGTCAGCTGCTTTCCCAGGCCACAAGCAGGGAGCTGGATGGGAAGCGGGCCCAGAGCGATTAGAACTGGCATGTATATGGGATTCTGGCATGTTCAAGGCAAGGACTTTAGTCGCTAGGCCACTGCACCGGGGCCCAGATTGGAATTTGTATCAATTAGAAACATCAGTTTGATAATATCCAGATAACATGCCATGTTAATGGCATGGGTTAATTTATACTGTTGCAAAGAATATAAATTGATATTCCACATTGGGAGTGTGAATTAGCAGCAGCTTTTATAATGTAATATGCTGTTATGCTTTTAACACCAAATCCATTTTTTGACTCCTGTACTGCAGAAATAACATGTTCATATGATTTCATCCAAATAACATGAGTGTGGATAGATATGTATTTATGTAATGTGGGTATGTATTTATTTTCCTTGTATAAGTAAATAATGGATGGCAGGGAAAGGAAGGAGGTGAAGTAGAAAAACCTCTGGCAGGGGCCCAGTGCAATAGCCTAGCAGCTAAAGTCCTCGCGTTGCATGCCCCGAGATCCCATATGGGCGCTGGTTCTAATTCCAGCAGCTCCGCTTCCCATCCAGCTCCCTGCTTATAGCCTGGGAAAGCAGTCGAGAATGGCCCAAAGCCTTGGGACCCTGCACCCGAGTGGGAGACCTGGAAGAAGCTCCGGGCTTCATATTGGCTCAGCTCCAACTGTTGCGGTCACTTGGTCTCTCCTCCTCTCGGTATATCTGACTGTCCAATAAAAATAAATCTTAAAAAATCTCTGGCAGAACTACTCCAAGAGAATAATGAAGGGAAGGGGCTTCTAAAAACAAACCGTAGAAGATGCTGCTGTTGGTAAATATTTCAGATCTGAAGGCCACCCTGTAAAAAATAATGCTAGTACGGTCCGGTGCAATGATTCAGTTGGCTAAGTCTTCACCTTGAAAGCACTCAGATCCCATATGTCCTCCAGTTTGTGTCCCGGCTGCTCCACTTCTCATCCAGCTCTCTGCTTGTGACCTGGGAAAGCAATAAAGGATGGCCCAAAGCCTTGGGACCCTACACTTACTTGGGAGACATGGAAGATGCTCCTGGCTTCAGATTGGCTCATTGAGTGCCCATATGAAGTACTAGTACTTGCAACTAGAGGATTAGCTTAATGAGCCATGATATCTGCCTTTAATATATACTATTGAATCAAGGAATTAATTACATATGTCTTCTCATTATTCTGTTACCTAGGATTTTTTTTGTTTCTAGCATTATATAGCAATTAATTATATCCTTGTTTTTTGTGATATGGTTTAGGAGTTAAATAAAAGACAGACTCAGAAGGACTTAGAGCATGCCATGCTTCTGCGACAACATGAATCAATGCAAGAACTGGAGTTTCGCCACCTCAATACAATTCAGAAGATGCGCTGTGAGTTGATCAGATTGCAACATCAGACTGAGCTCACTAACCAGCTGGAATATAATAAACGAAGGGAAAGAGAACTAAGGCGGAAACATGTCATGGAGGTTCGACAACAGCCTAAGAGTTTGAAGGTATGTTTTGCCTGAGGTGCTTGTTTACTTGTTTTAGCTTAAAGGGCAAAGAGAATGAGCAACAGTTTGTTTTGTTTTGTTTTGTCTGGTCTGGTAATTCACTTCCCCAAAAAGCCACAATAGAAAGAGTTAGACCAGATCAAAGCCAGGAGCCTAGAATTCCATCTCGGTATCCCAAGGGGTGACAGGGTCTAACCACTTGCACCTTCACTGCTGCCTATCTGAACATGCATTAGCAGGAAGCTGGAATTGGAAGCAGAGCTAAGACTTGAATTCAGGCACTTGATAAGAGATATTTGGCACCATTGTGCCAAATCCCACACCAATCTTAAGCTTCTTTACAGGGGGGAAAACAATCAAAAGACATTCATGCTAGCAGGAAATGTCTAGGATATATGTCTAATTATGAAAAATTTGAGAGACTGTTTTATTTGGTTGGTTCTAAGGTGGAATACTTGTCATTGCAATTTTGCTTATGTATTTTTCATCATCATGCAATGAAATAGCAAAAATTTAACTACAAGGAGTGCTGTTAAATGATCATAATTTTTATTTTTGAGTTTCCATTGTCCAGTGTTAATAATATAATTTATGAGTCAACATTGCTAATTTGACGGTTTCTCCCTGTATTTCGGGTAATCCAATTTTAAAACTTAATTTGTTCTAAATATGATTTGTACCTTATATAAAAGTGCATCACCAATAAAAGAATTCCCTTTTCCCTTCAACTACCTGATCTGTTCCCCTTCACAGAAGTCAGCCAGTGTTAAAAAATCTAAGAAATCTGTAATGTAAATATTTGAAGTGAAATCACATGAGTATTAATAAGCAAAAACAAAAATACTGAATATATATATATATAGGCTGTCATTAGTGACAGGACCTCATTGATCCATACATGTCTATACATTTTATTCCTCTTTAATTCAATAAGGTCCACATCCCACAATATTAATTAAACCCCTCTCTGTCCCTGCCAATCCTTTTCAAATTGATATTCAAACTATAAAATTGCTCTTTTTTAAGCCCAGTGGGATGACTCAATGGCTAAATCCTTACATTACAAGTGTTGGGATCCCACATGGCCACCAGTTTGTGTACTAGCTGTTCCACTTGTGTAGGAAATCGGGAAGAAGCTCCTGGCTCCTGGTTTCAGATTGGCTCAGCTCTGGGCACTGCATCCATTTGGCGAGTGAACCAGCTGGTGGAAGATATTTCTGTTTCTCAGTTCTCTATAAAATCTGTTCTGCCTTTTCATTAAAAAAATATATATATTCCTTTTAAAAATGCTCTTTGTTTTTTTCTGGAAAGCTATGTGGGAGTAAAGAGCAATTCATATGTGTATTATATATATGTGACCAAACCTGTAAGATACAGTACATGTGATGTTATTGTTTTGCCAGGACACCAATCCCTACAAAGCTTTAAATTGGGGAAGAAGCTTTCAATTTATATACTTAAATGTTTTGATTAATGTTTGGCATGGGGCTTGCTTTTTCTGTGGAATGAATTGTGTAAGACTGCCTTCAGCTGCCATCCACTTGGAGCTTTGTCCATGTTAAATAAGTGGAAATAATTGTAGCTTATTTACATCTTGCTTTCACTTAAGTCAGACGTTGAGAGGTATAGTTTATTATTGGCAAAAGTGTTCATCTTATTAAATAATTTCTCGTAAGTTTCTTTGTCATTGGGCAGTAATAGGAAATCATTACAGTTTTCTTGGCATACGTGAAAACAGTCATTGGCTGGCATTGTGTAGCAGTGTCCTGCCAGTGCTGCACCTGGTATTGGAATGCCTGTTCAGATCCCAGTAGCTCCATGTCCAGTCTAGCTCACTGCTAGCATACCTGGGAAGGCAGTGGAAGATGGCCTGAGTGCTTAGACCCAAATGGAGTTGCCAGTTGCTAGCTTCAGCCAGGCCCAAAACTGATCAGCTTGGCCATTTCGGAGTGAGTCAGCAGGTAGAAGATTTGCCTTCTCGCCTCTTAACTTTGCCTTTTAAATAATTTTTTTAAACAAGTACTGACATTTAATTTTTTTTATTGTTAATAACATTGTATTATGTGAAATGACATTTGAATTTACAAGCAGGGAACTGGATGGGAACTGGGGCTGCCAGGATTAGTACTGGCACCCATATGGGATCCTGGTACGGTCAAGGCAAGGACTTCAGCTGCTAGGCTACCGAACTGGGCCTTGATTATTTTAAAAGAAAAATTGTCAGTATTTCAGATAAAAAGCAAAGGTGCTTGCTTTTTCTTTTTCTTCCTTAAGATATATTTGTTTACTTGAAAGACAGTAAAGAGTAGAGATCTTCTTTTCTGCTAGTTCATTCCCCAAATCGTACCATGAGCCATCTGGAGCTCAGCCATCCTTTAGCCAGGAGCTAGGAACTCCATCCTGGTCTTCCTCAAGGGTGGTAGGCCCAAGCTTTTGAGCCATCCTCCACTTCCTTCACAGACACATTAGAGAGAGATCGAGGATATAAGCAAATCCAGCTTTCTGTCTATGGCCTGGGAACGCAGTAGAGGATGGACCACATATTTGGAACCCTGCACCCGAAAAGGAGACCCAGAAGAAGGTCCTAGCTCCCAGCTTCGGGTCTGGTCAGTTCTGTTCATTGCAGCCATTTGAGAAGTGGACCAGCAGATGGGAGATCTTTCTGTCTCTCCTTCTGTCTGTAAATCTGCCTTGCAAATAAAATCTGTAAAGAAGTCTTGTGATACATTTTTTTTTCTATGACGTGTATGGATATTAAACTCATATCTCTTTTCCCTAGTCTAAAGAACTCCAAATAAAAAAGCAGTTTCAGGATACCTGCAAAATCCAAACCAGACAGTACAAAGCGTTAAGAAATCATCTGCTGGAGACTACACCAAAGAGTGAGCACAAAGCTGTTCTAAAGAGGCTCAAGGAGGAGCAGACCCGGAAGTTAGCCATCTTGGCTGAGCAGTATGATCACAGCATTAATGAAATGCTGTCTACACAAGCTGTGAGTTTGCTTTATTCAAACGGAACAAACTTAATGTCCTTTTACTTCAATCACCTGAATGAAATCCAAGTAAAATGTTTAGTTGTAAGTGCCATCTCTGTTACAGCTTTGGATGTAGTGGTTCAGTGTTCCTTCTCTCAGCATTGCCTGGAATTGTCATGCAACATGCAGAGTTCTTACTACTGTATTCACATAGGAGGTTCTGAATTGACTCTCTGCTAATACAGATCTTAATTTTTTTTTAAGACTGGAGCAACAAATTTGGTAAGCGGTAGTCAAAAATGAGTACTACAGTTGGGAACTCAAGTGATTTTGTTTAAATACAATTATGGGGCCCAGCACTATAGTATAATGGTTAAAGTTCTCACCTTGCACGAGCCAGGATCCCATGTAGGCGCCAGTTCTAATCCAGTGGCCCCACTTCTCATCCAGCTCCCTGCTTGTGGCCTGGAAAAGCAGTTGAGGATGGCCCAAAGCCTTGGGACCCTGCACCTACATGGGAGACCTGCAAGGGCTCCTGGCTCCTGGCTTTGAATCAGCTCAGCTCCAGCTGTTGCGGCCGCTTGAGAAGTGAACCATCGGACAGAGGATCTTCCTCTCTGTCTCTCCTTCTCTCTGTATATTCGCTTTTTCAATAAAAATAAATAAATCATAAAGTAAATGCAAATATGAAATATTTTGTATATACAAGTTGTATAAACTTTTTTTTTAAACAACAAAAAAATAAATACTTCAGGCATTGCAGGCCAGGCGGCAAAAAAAAAAAAAAAAAGAAAGAAAGAAAGGGCTGCACAGATTTGGTCTCTAAACTTGAGTTTTGTTGTTGCTGTTCTATAGTTATTTCTACTAGGAAAGAAAGGAGATATTTAGAGTTCTGTGTTACCTAACCATAATCTAGGATTTCCTTAGGAAAAGTGTGGTTATTCATGTTTGCTCCAAAGCATGTTAGCTTTGTCTTCATAATGCTATCATTGAATTTGTATCCTCTACTGTCACTGGTCCCTGTTTCTATTGTTCCTGAATAGAGAACTCACAGTGGAATATCTTTTTCTTTGTCTCTCAGCTACGTTTGGACGAAGCACAGGAAGCAGAGTGCCAGGTTTTGAAGATGCAGCTGCAGCAGGAACTGGAGCTGTTGAATGCATATCAGAGCAAAATCAAGATGCAAGCTGAGGCACAACATGATCGAGAACTTCGGGAGCTTGAACAGAGGGTCTCCCTCCGCAGGGCACTCTTAGAACAAAAGGTATACATAAGAGAAGGAAGATCATTGTTCTAATAGTTGCTGCCATTAAAACAATTTATAATCTGTTTTATATGGACGGGTTACATTAGATTACTGTTTACTGTGTTTCATTAATATCAGTTTGGTAGAGAGTTTTTTATCCCCCTCTTAAAATTATTGGCTCGTTATGAGCCTTACAATTATTGAGTTCTAAAAATGAAGGGGATATAAATAAGTAGCAATTGTTAAAGACACAATGTGATTATGTGAATTGTGAAAGTAGCAGATCTGATTCTGTGTTCTTCACTTTTTTGTTTACCTAACTCTGTGTAAGGAGTTTGAAGAAAGATTTGAAAGTGAAGAAAAAGAATTGCAGCAATACCTGGGAGAGGCAGGGACAAAAGATCAGGAATATCTGAAGCTGTACAGATAGGTGGAAGATTACTGAGGCACACAGGGTAGAACTGGTGCCAAACAGATGAAAAGTCAGGCTGAAATAATTGTTACTTCTACAAGCATTTTTACTTCTTTGTCAGACATATTAGAGAATAGAACTGAAAACCACAAATTCATTTCCATTCTTCAGAATGCTGAAGCAAGAAAAAGAAATAGAGAATTTGTATGGCACACTTGAATCTGAGTTGGGGAAAGAGTGAAGGAAAAGATATTACAAGGCTATAGGCCTATAGATTTTCCTCTGTTTCCATAGCTTTTGCAATAAAAATAGAAGATATTATCAAATTTCAAAGTGTGTTTTTTTAAAAAAAAAAAAATCCATATAGAGTCTGACACAGTGACTCAAACAGGCTGGTCAGCCTATGGCTCCTGCCACATCCTGGATGGGTACTGGTTCAAGTCCCAGCTGCTCCTCTTCAGATCCAGCTCTCTACTTACAGTCTGGAAAAGCAGCAGAGGATGGCTCAAGTCCTTGGTCTTCTGCACCCTCATGGGAGATGTGTATGAGACTGTTGGCTCCCGGCTCCAAATCAGCTCGGCTCTGGCTGTTGGAACCGTTTGAGAAGTGAACCAACAGATGAAAGATCTCGCTCCCCTTCTTTCTCTGTAACTCTGTATTTCAAGTAATTAATAAATCTTTAAAAAAAGAAAAGATTGGCAGAGTTATAGAGACTCAGAAATTGTCCATCTGCTGGTTCACTCCCCAAATGACCGCAACAGTCATAACTGAGCTAAGCCAAAGCTGGGAGCCAGGAGGTTCCTAAATATCTTCCATATGGAGCCTGAGACCCAAGGATTTGGACCATCTTCCATGTCCACTGCCTTCCTAGGCCATAGCAGAAATGGAGTAGCCAGACATGAACAGGAGCCCTTTAATACTTTTTTCTTTCTGTCTTTAATACTTTCTCATTTGCCTGTAAAAAGCTATGTTAAGTGTATTTCTCATTTAAGATGGCAAGTATGGAAATATTTACATTTTAGGAAATATGTGTATTTTGTCCCTAGATTTTCTGAGTTGTTTGATTCCAACTTTTGTATTTAAAATTCAATCTGAAGTCTTTCTTTTGCGTCCATATCACCACTGGAATAAGAATTTACATTAATATTTCAGGAGTAGTACTGAGAGAGAAATATTGGTATCATTAGGAGCCAGCATTGTGTCACAGCACGTTAAGCAACTGCGTCTGATGCTGACCACCCATTATGAGTTCAGGTTTGAGCCCTGGCTGCTCTGCTTACCATCCAACTCTTTGCTGATGAAACCTTAGGCCCCTGTTACTAATGTGGGAGACCAGAATGGAGTTGCAGGCTCCTGGCTTCAGCCTTACCCAGCCCTGGACATTTTGTGACCATTTGAAGAGTGAATCAGCACATGGAATCTCTCTGTCACCCTTTTTCTCTGTAACTGCCCTTCGAACAAATGATGTAAATGTGTGTGTGTGTGTGTGTGTGTGTGTGTGTGTGTGTGTGTGTGTGTAAGTGAAGGATGATTATTATTTTAGCTCCATCTAGTGGTTCAGAGTTAAATAGTGCTAATTAGCATACTTGCTCTTGATGTATGAACCAAAGCCTACATATTTCATAAAGCCTGGTAAAGTATAGAAGTGAAGCCAATTCCCACTGTGAAGTTGCACTGCTAGCCTTCTTGAAAAGCAATCAGAAGAGAAATATATTGAACAATAAAAGTGTTAATTATTGTGGCTAGGATGATGGTATAACAAGTTAATCCTCCACCTGTAGTGCCAGCATCCCACATGGGCACCATTTCGTGTCTTGGGTTCTCCACTTCCCATCCATCTCTCTTTTTATATAAATCTGGGAAAGCAGCAAAGGATGGTCCAGATCCTTGGGTCCCTGGTCCCATGTGGGAGACCCAGAAGAAGTTCCTGGCTGCTGTTGTATCCATTTTGGGAGTGAACCACCAGATGGAAGATCTCTGTCTCTCCTCTGTAACTTTTCCTTTTAACTAAAAATAAGTAAATCTTTAAAAAAGAAAGATCAATAATGTATGATTCCTACCGTGTATCACTTTTGATTTTAAATGTATATCCATACAATAGCCACTTTAAAGCTGAATAATTGTTACTTCCTCAGTTTATAACTTCTAAAAAGTAATTGTGCTTTCTTTTTCCTTGTCACACCTAATCCCCAACAGATTGAAGAAGAAATGTTGGCTTTGCAGAATGAACGCACAGAAAGAATACGAAGCTTGTTAGAACGTCAAGCCAGAGAAATTGAAGCTTTTGACTCTGAAAGCATGAGACTAGGTTTTAGTAACATGGTTCTCTCTAATCTCTCTCCTGAGGCATTCAGCCACAGCTACCCTGGAGCTTCTAGTTGGTCTCATAATCCTACTGGGGGTCCAGGACCTCATTGGGGTCATCCCATGGGTGGCCCACCACAAGCTTGGGGGCATCCAATGCAAGGTGGACCCCAGCCATGGGGTCACCCCTCGGGGCCAATTCAAGGGGTACCTCGAGGTAGCAGTATGGGAGTCCGCAATAGCCCCCAGGCTCTGAGGCGGACAGCTTCTGGGGGACGGACAGAGCAGGGCATGAGCAGAAGCACGAGTGTCACTTCACAAATATCCAATGGGTCACATATGTCTTATACATAACTTAATAATTGAGTGGCAATTCCGCTGGAGCTGTCTGCCAAAAGAAACTGCCTACAGACATCGTCACAGCAGCCTCCTCACTTGGGTACTGCAGTGAGGAGCTGAGTGCATATGGTATATTTTATTCATTTTTGTAAAACATTCTGTTTTTGTGTTTACTAATTGGGATGTCATAGTATTTGGCTGCCGGTTTTTGTTTTGGTTTTTAAGCTTTTGGGGAAATTTTGGAAGGGGGAATTAATATTAAATATGTAAGTGTGTGTGTGAGTATGTTTACACACACACACATACACACGTCTCATGCATGTGGTAAAAAGAAATTGGCTACATAGGGGTTATTTTCTGAATACTGCAAAAAGTGAACTATGGCAAAAGGAAATTTATGATAATATCTTAAAGCCTTTCTATTTATCCCAAGTTCTTATGAGCCACTCAACAGCAGGCAGCAGTTGCTGAATAATTTATTATGGAACACCTCTGCATCCCCTCACCAGTGTAATTTCTTTGTTAAATTGACTTGACTTCTCAGCCTCATTTGGAGTTAAAAAAGAAAAAGAAAAGAAATCCATGAACACTAAAGGATTGCACTGACTTTTTCAGATGGTGGAAACAACTTAGTTCCTTTTTGAATGCTTTATAGATGTGTCAGTGGTTTTTGACCATTCAGTTGTTCCTTTTTTTGTGTTACAGTAAGATGTGAGTGATTAAGGAGATCACAAGTTGCATGAAAAGTATGTTAGCAAACCAGTGAACTTTCAAGGGGAAAGACCAGAAAGGTGGTAAGAGGGGTTTTGGAAACTTCATATGTGGAAATGTCTGATGTCTGAGTGACAATATGAAACCTAATATCCTGACATTTTGTTGCTTATACTGTGATGTGTCATCCTAGCTAAGCTCTATAACCCCCAAGACCCCAGACAGAACTTTTGCTTTGTAAGAAACAAAGACACACAGCCAATATAAATCAAATGCCAGAGGCATTTGAATGATGCCATATTTGCAGACTGCCATGTATTGAAATTTTCATCACACTACTTCAATGTAATTTGTTTATCCCTTTTGGCTTATGGGATTTCCTGTTTACAAGTAGAATAGCCAATTATTTAAATGTTTAGTTGCCATAGTGAACCAGGAGTCACTGAGCCAATGACTTTACCAGCTGCTGACTAATCTTCATCACCACTGTAGATTTTTGCTGCATGTGCAGGTCCTCTTTTTTGTTTGTTGGTTTTTTTGTTGTTTCTTTTTCTTCTTCTTCTTCTTTTTGCTATTTTTGTTGCTGCAGTACTTTACAAACTTCTAGTTCATCGAGACTTAGTGACCATTTGGCACCATATTAACATCATACAAGAGGAAACACCACTTCCAAAAAGTCTCAAGCCTAAGTGTTAAAGTACTACTGAAAAGGAACTAGGAAGTTTGGCAAATCAAAAAGAGGCAGGGTGATGGTGGTTATCGGGATCAGGGAATCTCTTGACAAAAACTAGCATTACTTTGAGTGGGAAGGCAGCATATTTTGTTTAGTTTTGTTTTGTTTTGCAATGAAGGATCAACCCAATGTTGAAAGCCAGTGTTATTTGGTATTCCATTACTTGTATGGAAATAGAATTGGAGGTGGGTGGGTGGCGTGCTGTGAATATGACTTGAAGAAAAGGATATCCTTTCCAGTGACATATCAGAATTTCTTGTATGTTGTTTTTCTATTCCCTGCCCAATTGTCTTGAAGAGTCCTTGCTGCTATCTCTGGATCCTGTTTTTTTATAGTCAGAGAGCTCCAAGGTTCCTCTCAATGATATTATTTACTTAGACCAGACTAATGACCAAATAATAATCTATCATTCTTAAAGTCTTGGTTTTTCTTAAACAAACTGTTTCCCAGGGATGTCAGTCTACTCTATGAATTCTCCCCTTTAAGTTTCTGGCATTTGATTTGAAGGTAACTGGAAGAAATATTAATATTTTAATGTAAATATTTTGAAAGCCAAGATTACAGTGGAATTCACACAGTTTTAGAATGTTTCCAGTAACTTCCAAATGTCTTATCTTGATGGTCATCATTCAGGTTGCCACTCTTGAAGTGTACTTGAGTTAGTGAAAGAAATGGGATTTTAGTTTTTTCCCTGTCTGCCTTGCATTCAAAAACAAGTTAATATACAGTATTTGAAACAAATTGAGTAATCTACCTATTAGGAACAAAATATGAGAGAGCTTCACAATTTAATAAAATCGTAAAATGTCCACAAGTATGATGGAATTTGATACCTTTAAAATAATTCCTCATATATTTTGTCCCTCTGTACTAAATTAATAAAAGAGAAGCAGATCAGTGTTACATGCAGAACTCTTAAATCCTAAATATTACCAATAATAAATTTTAAAATCCAGTTGTGAACTTAAGTTAGTCAAATTGAATTACCGAGCTCATTCAGAATAGTATGTATTTATATAAAAATGTGATTGAATCTTTGACTCTGGATCTGTCCAGGACAGTTTTGTATCTAATTGTGTGGCAACCAGTTTTTACATAGGTCATGACTTAATATAGATTTATACTATTAAATTTTAATTAAAATATGTAGTGTTTGCATAAAATGATTTAAATTAATTGGTTTGCGTGTGTTTGTAAGCTCTAACTTTTTAAGGACTCTCATATGCTAAAGATCATCACAGAGTAATGCTCATAGCAGGAAATTGGAAAGGTTTGAGATTCCCTCAAGAAAGAGTGACCATTTTGTTAAGTATGCAAATGTCAATGTTTGATCAAATAACACTACCTCCTCCTCAGTGTTGGTTTTCACTCATTATATGTATGGTTAAGAAAACTAAAAATATGGGAAATATGTTTAGCATAAGTTATAAATGCTATATCTGGTATCCAGAGCCTGGCAGTAAAAATTTCTTAATGTTTCCCCCTCTTCCCTCCCCTCCCCATTTTTTTAAGTTAGCATTTTAAAAATGCAAATCCTGTCTTGAAATAAATTATCTCTAATTGGATTCTCTTCCCTTTGAATGTGTTTTTCCTTTTTATTTGAAATCAGTTCTGATTCCAAATTATAATTATATTGCCATTACATCCATCATGTTAGCTGAAAGCTGTGTTTTCCTTATTTTTATTCAGAATTTCCATTTCTGTACCTAGAGATGAATAGTCCTCTGTTTGAATCAGCACCCGCGGAGGTAATATGCTTAGTATTCTCGGTCGAAGATTTATTGATGAATTGTAGTGTTTCACATAGTCATTAATTTTGGCTGCCTCGACATCAGGTAGATACCACTCAATCCACTGAAGCTGTCTGGATATTCCCTTCCACTCCACCAGTTTTCCCTTATCCTCTTTTGAAAAACTGAAAACTTTAGGAGCATATTTTTCAGAACATAAGGCAGACTTTTGTTACTTTCTGCTTCTGTAAGTACTAAATGTCTAGCATTTTAAACTTTTAGAAAATACATTGTGTTGGACACTGGAATAATACTATTTATTTTCACCTGTGAAAAACAACTTCATTATACTTGAAACACCTCCTTTGCATTTCTCCATTTGTGCCATTCACTAGTGGAAATAAATTGTATTATACCATGATCTACTGGCTTTTTAAAACTGTTTAATATGCACATTTTTGGTATAGCTGTTATCATTTGTATGTATATATTGTATATACATATGAGTGTCTATATGTGTGTAAAGATAGATGGTGTAACTCATACTGTACATTTCTATCAGGGCACTTAAGATTCTGGTTTTGTTTGGTTTTGTTATTTCAGTCCTCAGTTAAGGCAAGAATGCCTGAGTTTCTTAGAAATGAATGTTCTGGGTTGATATTTATGAGAAGGTGGTCATTGATTACAATCTTCCCTTTTTTAATCTCCGCTTAACACTTGTGTGAGTGGAGAGAAAAGTTTAGCAAAATGTGGAACCATAATTTGCAATTAAGTAATAATTTGCTGAGGAAGGAGCTATTATTAAGTGTTGTGATTTAGTAAAAGACAAGTGATGCGGAGAGAAATGAACCATGACAAGTTCAGAACTCTGGTGGTGATTCCTCTGCACAGATGGTTTAGAAAAGAGTTGGTATTAGTGTGAGGGGCTTTCTCCTTATAGCTATCTTTCTTGCTTGCTAACAGTAAGTTCTTTCTGCACCTTCTACCCATTCTGAGCCACTACTATTAAAGCAGAGATTTGGCCCAACACAGCAGCCAGCCTTTCCTTGGAGGTTTGTATAGTCCTGTGTTTTGTCCCATGCTCACAAATGTGAAGTGTTTTAGTGTGTAGTGAAATCAGAAAATAATGTAGATAAGATATAGAAGTGTGAACCTCCTATATTAACGGAAGAAAAGTGTCTCATTTTTTAGATAGAGCCTTTTCTAAGGAACAGATCAAACCTTGGGCTATCATCTTTGAGCTGCTTACCAAAATACAGATTATTGTAAAGAAGCAAATTCTATTTTGTTTCTCCCATCTAACATAATTGTATCCCTAACCAGGTTGTAGCATTTCCTTTTAAAAGGTCATTACACACTCCTAGTTGTTAAGAACTGGACATTTCCCATCTTCAGATTCCTTTCAGATTGAAGTGTGTGCTCTACACTTAGCAGACTTGCCTCCTGTATGCAAGGACTACTGATTGAAGTCTGTTTTGCTGTGTCTGGTTATGTTGTCTGCACTTTGATGAAATCTACGAATAGGTCTACATTGGAAATGATTATTAGTAAACACTGTCTGGAAAAAGAAAGTGAAGCTGAGAACTCTTCCTTTAGTGTGCATTTGTATTTTCTACTGAATTCTGGTCCCTATAAAATCATATTGAGTGATTTTTTTTCCCCTCATTTTTTTATATTTAGACTTCAAAATTTCATTTTGAAATTGGAAACAGAACCTCTTTGGCCTAAGGGTAGCTTTCAGATCATAAGAAATTTTATAAATTAGTATGCACCTTATCTGCCTACTGTGGGTTTGTTAAACTTGCACTTCCACCCACCCAAAGATAGAAAAAAATCTTTAGAGAGAATAAAGGCAGAGGATTACTGGGGAGCCATTTACTATGTCAGTGTCACTGTTAGCTGTTTCCCAGCTATCCAAAATTTTTGAAGCTTCCGAGATGTGTGTGTGTATGTGTGTGTTGGAGTGTATTTGTTTTGTTTCGTTTTTAAATATGCAAAGCATTCTTCATTATATAGAAAAAAAGGGTTATATTCTCTTTGAAATGGCAGGAAGCCCACACAACATAGAAATCTGAACATATATAGGTAGTTTACCATGAAAAAGTGGAGAGAAAATGAGATGTCTTGAGTGAATGAAATAGGGTATGTTGATGCCCAAGAATTTCCCCTCACAGTACGGGTAATTCAACCTGCACAGTTTTCTTTCACTCGTAGTTTTTACTAATTATGAGTGAAATATCATGTAATTATCTGTAAATATGTAGCTAACAAATTGACCTAGTTTCTGTATTTTTTTGTTTTTGTACTAAAGTTTATAGCTCTGTAACCGCTAGAGAGGAGTTGCTGTCATTGCCAGTGTGGTCCTAGCATCTAATCCTGAAACCATCCTCGGTGACATTTTTAGAATTAATGCGTAAGTGTTGTTAAACAGGGAGAAGTAAAGCTTAATCACTGGTCAGGTTTGAAATCTTTTGAAGTGAAATAATTTTATTTAACATACTGATTACATGTCCTCAGTCATGAATGAGATAAGAAACTGCCCTTCCCCAATGGCCATGTTTACAGAAGTGTGTTTTGTCTGTGAAGTACAAGTGTTTTAATGTTGATGTACATTATGCAGGTGGTAATATTATGGTTTGGGACTGTTTGTTGGGCTCTTTCACTGAATTTTCAAATGAAATGAACTATACTTAATGCTGGCGCATAGATCCCATTTCTGGAACATTTTCCCTATTTCCACAACCACTTATGTTCCTTTTGCAATACCCCTGCATAACCTCCCTTTCTGATATGCCTATAGCCAAGGCATTAAAGACCGGTAAACATGGATGAAAGAAATACATTTCTTAAAAATCCATAAACCCTCAATGGTATGCTTCAGTACTTGTGTTACACGTTTCTATGGCAACTCTGAGGTCAGTGGTTTAGAAATGAGATACCAGTGTTAATGAAAAGTGTGCACTCTTTGCTTTTGCATGGCTTGGCTTAGTATCCAAGGTATATTAGGGCCACTTAAAAATATGATAATCAGTAATATGGAACAGGTTTCTCTCAGTGGCATATTTTCATTTTTGTGAGCCCTAAAAAACACTGCCTAGGCATGAACATTACTGTTACTATAAATTGTACATTTATGGGTAATGGGGTAGATAAAAAAGATAAAGGATATAACTGCCTGACATTTACAAATTCTGGCTGGTCTACGTAGCCATTTGGCACATATCGAAAGACCTGGGGGTATTAGAACTCGAACTTGTCTGGGTTTTTTTGGTCATAGTCAAGTATATCTAGTTTATAGAAATATTGGTTGTCCCTGGTGTATATTGCCAGACAACTTACTTTCTGTTGCAGCCCATTCCAAATATGCTCTTGTCCTTCCTTGCATTTCATAATATCTAAAGAAACCACCACTTCTTTGTAATAGCTTTTTGTAATTCTCATTCCACGTTAAATGGGAATTGTGCCTATTTAGAATGCTTCTCCAGTTAATCACAGATGTCCCAAAATCATCCAAGTCAGCGATGTAAGGTAGGAAAACATTTCAAGAAAGAAAAACATCTACTTGAGGCCAGTAATTTTTCTCACAAGGTATTTTACTCCCACTAACTTGATCCTGATGAATGAGCCTATCACGAGTTACCCAAATAAAGAGGGAAATGTGGGGTTACTATGAAGATACAAATCTGTTTCTTATTTTACATTTTCTTTCATGATCCTTTCCCTAGAACTAGGCTAGAATTTGTCAATTCTTCCAATTTCTTTCATTTTGGTTATTTTTTAGGGAAATTTTTACAAAAGCAATGGTCTGATGTAAATAACATTTTGAAGTATAGTGCACATAACTTCCCGGACTGTTCCAACCTGATGATTTGCAAATGCTTTAGAGTTTTTTAAATTAACACTTGTGTTGCTAAATCCTATTTATATATGTCTGCTAAGATTTTTAACCCACTTAAAAATTCAAACATCTAATGGATGGGTTACTATGAGTAATTTAGCTTTCAGAATCCCCGTGTTTAAGTATATGAAAAGTTGTAATGCGCATTAATGAGGTGGGAGAGACTATGAGAAATATGTATAGTGTATATTTTAAAACAGCTTTGCTTGTATTGTGAAGAATTTAAAGCAAACTTGAGATTTTTAACGTAACTATTAACACAGTTTTAACATAAGTTATCCCACTGGGTTTAAGAGCATCTTGAATGTATAATCCTTTTTGTAACCCAGGTTGGTTTCTGCTTTTACCAGTCATCCAATATTATTTATGTTTTTAGTTTTATGTACTCATTTCCCTTTGTTTTTCTCAAACCGCATGATTTTTCTTTTTGCACATGTAGAAATTTTTAAAAAGAAAAATGAATATATAGTTTCCTCTGGGTTTTCTTCACTTCTTTCCTTCTACTAATCCCTCCTGAAAGGCCATATCACTCCATTTGCATCATTGTGCAAATGCCAGGGTTGGTTTTTATTTTTATTTTTGCTATTTACCTTAAAAAATGCTTCAGTCAGTTGCTTTTTTATTTAAAAAAAAAAAGAAGAAAAAGAAAAAAAGCTGTAACCTTATCATTTCTGAGTAGACCATTGAGAAATGAATGCACACCTGTAATAGCCCAGGACCAGCTTTGGTGGCTAAAGGGAATATTTTAAGCAAAAGGTTCTTTTCTTTAAAAAGTGGTATATTTATATTATCCACAGTCTACTTTGGTTATTCCCACAAGTCGGGTACAAGTAAAATGAGGGTTATCAGCTAACTGATGCTATCATTGAGGTTCATCAATGAATTTGTACATTTCTAGTTCCCTTTGGTGAAGGGAAAAATGATGATTTTGCAAGACCTAGATTTTTTTGGCTTGGTTTCTTGCCTCCTTTTTAGGCAGCCTTCATCTTCTCATCTCCCAAAGCCCTTGATCCTGTAGGGTTTTCATAATGGACGAAGGACTTGTGGTCATTTAAAACTGGGACTGATTATTTTGGGTGAGAGATTATCATGTTGAAAGTATGATGTTCTACCACTTTACCAATGGGTGATTTTAAATATATGCAGTCCTCTCGATTCTTTTGGACCAAACAGATGCCCACAGTGGAGGCTTGGCAAGGCTTGCAATGGGGAAGAAGTCTCCCTCCCTGTCAGCGCCAGCTGGTAAAGGCGGCTGTACAGATGTGCATTTCCCTTTGGTAGAAATGGTCCACGGCACTAACTGGTAAGGCTCATTGTACAGCATATTGTCAGTGTTCTTCTGGTTCAGCATACCTGATAGTTCATATATAACCTGTATTAATTGTATAGATTGTGCATTTAAAGCTGTTACCAAGTTGTCAGAACATAAGAGCGAAAACAAGGTCATATGTAATATTTTGTTTGTAAGTATCCTTTGTATCATAGCAAAGGAAATGTTTAAAAAAAATCAACTGTAATAAAGTAATTTTAGTACACAGAGTGTCGGCTCAATTTTTAAAGATAATTTTGTTCTCCTAAAGTATAGTTTAATTCAGTGACTATTATATTACTATTTTTTAATATAACATTTGTTTTTATTGCAAAGTCAGATATACAGAGAGGAGAGACAGAGAGGAAGATCTTTCATCTGATGAGTCACTCCCCAAGTGAGCGCAATGGCTGGAGCTGAGCTGATCCGAAGCCAGGAGCCAGGAATTTCTTCCAGGTCTCCCACACAGGTGCTGAGTCCAAAAGCTTTGAGCTGTCCTCAACTGCTTCCCCTGGCCACAAGCAGGGAGCCGGATGGGAAGTGAGGCTGCTGGGATTAGAACCAGCGCCCATATGGGAGCCTGGCATGCGCAAGGTGAGAACTGTAGCCACTGGGCTACCATGCCAGGCTCTCAATGGTTTACTTCCCATATGTGCTCCGTGGCGAGGACTATACTGAGCCAAACTGGGAGCAGGGAAATCAATCTGGGTTTCATGGTTGGTTGATAAGAGCCTAATTATTTGAGCTGTTTCCTGCTGCCTCCCTGTATGCATTCATTGGGCCTAGTGTGATGACTCGATTGGCTAATCCTTCACCTTCAAGCACTGGAGACTCATGTGGGTGCCAGTTCATGTCCTGGCTGTTCCACTTTCCTTACAACTCCCTACTTGTGACCTATGAAAGCAGTGGAGGATGGCCCAAAGCCTTGGGACCCTGCATCTGCACGAGAGACCAGGAAGAAGCTTCTACTTTAGATTCTGACTAGAATAGGTTCTTAATATTTTTTTCTAAGTTATAGCTGATATAATTACAACACTTTGCATGCACATAGACACAAGTGTGGGTAGCTCTCTTGGAATTTATGTGAAGCTGAAAAGGTGGTCTTGACCCACAGTTTTGTTCTTTAAAATGCTGTTAGGAGCTGACACTAGCTTCCATTGTGCATGCCAATTTGAATCCTAGCAGCTCCACTTTTGTTCTAGCTCCCTGCTTATGTCCTGGGAAGGCAGTGGAAGATGACTCAAGTCCTTGGGACCGTGTCACCACGTGGGTGACCTTGAAGAAGCCCTTGGCTTCAGATTGGCTCAACTTGGCATTGTGGCCATTTGGAGTATGAACCAGCAGATGGAAGATCAGTATCTCTCTCCTTCTACCCTTCTCTCTGTAGATCTGCCTTTCAAATTAAAAAGAACTGTTAATACATAATTCATCAAGAGAAATGTTCATGGGCCTTGGGATGATCATTATTTTAATGTTTGTTTACTTTTATCTATCTGTGACCACAACAGCCAGGGGCTTGGTCAAGTTAAACCTAGAAACCAGGAATTTCATCCTGGATTCTCACAGGAGTCGCAGGGGCCCAAGCATTTGAGCCATCATCTTCAGTCTTAAAATGTGCTAGCAGGAAGTTGGAAGGAAAGTGGAGGTGCCAGAACCCAAACCTGCACTCCAATGTGGGATTCTGGTTTATGCTTCAAATTGAATTGTCTGGGCTCTGTGCAGTAGCCTAGTTGTTGAAATCTTCACGTTACACATGCTGGGATCCCATATGGGTGCCGATTTATGTCCCAGCTGCTCCACTTCTCAACCAGCTCTCTGCTTGTGGTCTGGGAAAGCAGTCAAGGATGGCTCAAAGCCTTTGGACTCTGCACCCATGTGGAAGACCTAAAAAAGCTGACTTCCTGGCTTCAGATCAGCTCAGCTCTGGCCATTGCAGCCACTTCGGGAGTGAACCAGCAGATGGACAATCTGTCTGTCTCTCCTTTCTGTAAATCTTCCCAATAAAAATAAATCTTTTCCTAAAAGTCTATTTTAAAAAGAATGGCAGTATCTTACCTGACAGTAAAAGAGATCTAAAAATAAAATTAGCCACAGTGACCATAGCTCCACAATTCTAAGGCTACCTCCCACAGCTGGGTGATGCTAATAGCACATGTTCTTCTAGTATGTGTCCTGGACAGATAATGAGTTTGTCTTAATTGCTACTTTGTTTTCATGTACTTCTTTAAAGAAAAAAAAGGGGGGGCCTGGCCCAGTAGCCTAGTGGCTAAATCCTCACCTTGCATGTGCCAGGATCCCTTATGGACCCAGATTCATGTCCTAGCTGCTCCGCTTCCCTTCCAGCAACCTGCTTGTGACCTGGGAAGGCAATAGAAGATGGCCCAACGCTTTGGGATCCTGCACCCATGTGAGAGACCTGGAAGAGATTCCTGGCTCCTGGCTTTGGATCGGCTCAGCTCTGGCCATGTGTGCATTTATGGATTGAACCAGCAGATAGAAGATATTTCTGTCTCTGTAAATCTGCCTTTCCAAAATAATAATAATATATTTTTTTAATAAAATGATTTGTTTATTTGAAAGCATTACAGAGAGAGGGATAGATATATCTTCCATCTGTTCTTTCACTACTCTTTTTTTTTTTATAGGTTTTTTTTTTTCCAAGATTTATTTTTATTATTTTTTCATTGGAAAGGCGGATATACAGAGAGGAGAGACAGAGAGGAAGATCTTCCGTCCAATGAGTCACTCCCCAAGTGAGTGCAACGGGCCGATGCTATGCCGATCCGAAGCCAGGAGCCTCTTCCGGGTCTCCCACGCGGGTGCAGGTTCCCAAAGCTTTGGGCCATCCTCGACTGCTTTCCCAGGCCACAGGCAGGGAGCTGGATGGGAAGCGGGGCTCTGGGATTAGAACCGGCGCCCATATGGGAACCCGGGCGTGCAAGGCGAGGACCTTAACCACTGCGCCACCGCGCCGGGCCCACTAATGGCTTTCTACTGGAAAGGCAGTAGAAGATGGCCCAAGTGCTTGGACCCTTGCACCCACATGGGAGACCAAGAAAAGGCTCCTGGCTTTAGCCTGGTCCAGCCCCAGCCAAGACCTCCATTTGAGGAGTGAGCCAATGGACAGATGGTCTCTCCATGTGTATATTTCTCCTATGTAATTCTTGCCTTTCAATTTTAAAGATTTATTTTTATCCGAAATGCAGATTTACAGAGAAAAGGAGAGACAGAAAGATCTGCAATCTGCTGGCTTACTCCCCAAGCTGCTGCAACAGCCAGAGCTGAGCCGATCCAAAGCCAGGAGCTTCTTACAGGTCTCCCACGTAGGTGCAGAATCCCAAGGCTTTGGTCTGTCATCAACTGCTTTCCCAGGCCACAAACAGGGAGCTGGATGCAAATTGGAGCATCCAGGATGTGAACTGTTGCCCATACGGGAGCCAAGTGCATGCAAAGCAAGGAAAGGTTTAGCTACTGAGCCATTGTACCAGGCCCTCAAGAGGTTTCTTTTTTTTTTTTTTTTTCCCTTAGGACCACTAAGTCATACATGAATCAGAATCTGGAACCTATATCTCCAAGCTACTTTAGTACTGTTTCAACAGCCAAATGTGAATTTCCCACTGAAAAACATGCATTTCTAGGTAGATACCATTGATTATCAGAGTATTTTGAGCCTGCTGGGAAATTATTAGCCCAGAACGGAAGGTCTGGTTGCTGATTAAACAGAGCTGCCACTGGTTAGTGGTACAGGACACAATGCAACAACTGGTGAATGCAGGATGTGCGGGAGGCTGTTGAACCCCACAGTAGGTAAGCATGGCTGAGTACATAGGTCAGTCTGAAGACAAACACGCATATTTGTTTCTGGAGACATAAAAAATGTAAACATTCCAGTGTTGCAGAGAGCACAGTCTGCTCACTACTTGGAGATAAGATGAAAGGACATTTTTGTTGAACTATACTACTGACCACTACTACTAGAGCAAGGGGTTGGTTACCTCATTGCACAGCAAGGCTACAGAGGCTAGAGGGTTTTTGTATTAATGTTACCGATCCCAAGAAACTTTGTTGTTTTTGAAACTTTATCTTTCCTTAAAACTTTAACTCTTCCTCAGCACTTGAAATGTAGGGCGTAATTAGTGGATATCCTAAAAACATACTTGGTCATTTAGGTAGGTTTATTTCATATATATATGAAATATCTATATGATATATAGGTTTATTTCATATATGTGTATATATATAGAGAGAGAGTCTCCCTGCTCCCAGTGTGTCCTGGTCAGGAAATCCCATTGAGCTCATATGTGTGATTTCAGTTCACAAAGTCTACCATGATCTAAGCTACCGTCACTTTCACACATGCCTTCTCTAGTGTGCCGAGGCATAGTCTATTTTGGCGATCCCACCAAAGGCCTGGGACTTCTGAGGCATTCATTCCATTTCCTAGCATTCCGACTCTCCTTGTGTTGGACTTTTCCCGGCCTCCCTCTGTCATCTCTGTGTCATCTCTGCACACCAAGACAACTGGTAAGGCCCGTTTCTGATACCATCCTTTATTTTAGACTTACCAATATTCTTTTTGGCATGGCTACCAAGTTCTGCCAAATTGTCCAACTGTGTGTGTGTGTTTAAGCAGGGAGATGAATTCATGCTAAAGTTCATGTGTAAAGGAGGAGAACTTATCTGACAAAGGATCTTGTGGTTTGGGTGGAAGATGAGTTCAGAGGAGCTTCAGACTCAGGTGGTTTTGAGGTTATGTGCAAGCCCAAGATGGTATTTCCTGCCTCGAGACCCTTTTTCTGATGGATGTCAAAACACCATCTTCACTCAACATTGAGCTGATGGCTTCTCTAAACCAGAATTGGGTGATTTATTTTTCAAACTGTTGTCTCCACCAAGCCACCCTGGAAACCTTTTTTTTAAATACATAAAACACTAAGTCTTCATGAGAATCAACGTGCAGTTGAGCCTACTTTTTAAAATTATTTATTTTATCCCTGGCACAGTGGCCTAGCGGCTAAAGTCCTCACCTTGAACGCGCCAGGAGCCCATATGGTTGCCGGTTCTAATCCCAGTGGCCCTGCTTTCCATCCAGCTCCCTGCTTGTGGCCTGGGAAAGCAGTCGAGGATGGCCCAAAGTCTTAGGACCCTGCACCCACAGGGGAGACCCTGAGGAGGCTCCTGGCTCCTGGCTTCGGATCAGCTCTGCTCCGGCTGTTGTGGTCACTTGGGGAGTAAATCATCAGACGGAGCATCTTCCTCTTTGTCTTGCCTCCTCTCTATCTGACTTTCCAATAAAAATAAATTTTTTATCTTTAAACTTTTATTGGAAAGTCAGATATAGAGAGGGGAGGGGGGCAAGATAGAAAAGAAGATCTTAGTCACTAAGCTACCATGCAGGGACACCCAAAACCTAGTCTTGATCTAAGAGCCCAGAACTGAGCAGTCATCTGTTTTCTGCATTCTTGATCCACTGTTGGAGACAGAGGACTGGTCTCTACTAATGTGACTAGTCATTAGGTTATTGATTTTGTTTTTCTTCTCCTTGCCATTTGCAGGTGTTTGTCAAGAGACCAAAAGAAAGGCAGACAAGTAACAGGACTCTACCTGGTAACAACTTGGGGCATTGCTTAAGGGCATGTTCTGATTCTTCCTTCCTCAGACTCACACTTGCCATTTTGCTCAAACAGCTGCACCTTCTTAGAACAGTGTGCCTGGGGCTCCTCCAACTGAGTTCACATGATTTGCTGCTCACTAGTGCACAACCAGTCCGGGCAGTTCTTTTATCCTTAGGCTAAGGACAGGGTCACCCAAACCTTTTCCTGCCTTGAACAGGAATTTTACCTCTTTGGCTGTACTCTTCAAGCAGTGATGGGAAGATAAGGGGATATGCAGTATGTTTCTCTGGCAGGAGGGGCATGGAGAAAGAATGCAGCAGGGTTTAGATACCTGGGACTCAAAGTCCAAGGGATTAGTGGAAGCTGAACAAGGCTGTTCTGCCATTCTGAGAATTCTTTTTTTTTTTTCAAAGATTTATTTGTATGTATTGCAAAGTCAGATATATAGAGAGGAAGAGAGACAGAGAGAAATACCTTCTGTATAATGATTCACTCACCAAGTGACCGCAACAGCTGTTGCTGTGCTGATCTGAAGCCAGGAGCCAGGAACCAGGAGCCTCTTCCAGGTCTCCCATGCAGGTGCAGGGTCCCACGGCTTTGGGCAGTCCTCAACTGCTTTCCCAAGCCACAAGCAGGGAGCTGGATGGGAAGCAGGACTGCTGGGATTAGAACTGGTGCTCATATGGGATCCTGGTGCATTTAAGGTGAGGACTTTAGCTGCTACGCCACCATCCCACACCCTCTCTAAGTTTTTAATGTTAAAATCCATGTGGTTGGTTGGTTGCTTTTTTCTTTTTCTTTTCTTTCTTTTTTTCCAATCAGGGCATGAAGGACTGCAGGACCCTAATTAGCTGAAATTCTTACTCTATAGGATATTGACCAGAGAGGCCCACCTCAGTCTTTCCCTCTCCCAAAACCTTACAACAAAGTGTTTAACCAGCTAGAGCGACTTCAGATTTCAGTTCCTTTGTATTTCTCCTCAGAAATGTTGAAAGTATGTCAGGTGAGAAATGTGGAGGAGAAGTAGGGAAGTGAGAATTTTTTTCACAACAGGATAACTCATTAGATGTTCTCAAACGTCGTCTGTTTTTCGGTTTAGTTTCCTGGAATTAGTTCAGAGATTCTTACTTTTTACAAAGGAATACAACCAGGGCAACGTTATCCAAATATGAAATCATGGCCATGCCAAGCTTTGGGAGGTGGCCTTTGACACAGACATCGCTCCTCTTCAAAACTGAGATGCTGTTCTGAGGTCAGTACAAGTGCCCTCTTAATGACAAATTTAAAGTAAAACTTGAATTTTAGCAACACATGAAACAAGAACTCCTCCTCCCAAAATAACAACAGCCCAATACAGAGCAGGATATATAGACTGGATCTTACTTCAGTCTTCAGCATTTTCCCTCATAAAACCAACCAGCCACTGAGCAGCCCAGTCCTGAAAGCAGCTTCTCTCCTTGAGCAGACAAAGCGGGGTTACAGGAGACTTGTTAGTCATGGAGTCCACTCCAAGCACTTCTTGATGCTTTGGTCCTCTCTGGCCCCAGATGTTGTTTCTGGAAAGGGAGAGGCTAGTGGCCCCATCAGGAAGGAAACAACTATCCAGAAAAACCTAGATTACAAGAACTGGACTTTTCACATGTCGGGAGAAAATCTACTCTGGGAATTGCAGGAGGGAGCCCCTGAAATACATTTGAACCAGCATCTTGGGGTGCTTGGAGATTTGGCCGAGTCCTCAGGCCGTGTATGAGAGCCCTTGGTCTTCAGGCAATGTCCTTGGGCTGTCCAATGAAGCTTGAGGGCCCCAGTCCAGCCTTGCAGAGCTCCTCTGAGGGATGCCCTTTAGCAGTCCAGACATAGGCACTCACATTCTCTACCAAGCCAGACTCAGCACCCCACTTCCTGCCTCTGCTGCCCTCCTCTAAAGCAGTCACGCAACTGGGGGAGCTGCTACCACAGCTGCCAGTGCAGTAAGTCACAGCTGCACACCATAACCACAGAGCAAATGAAGGAAGTGGGACCGAGACACACACATCCTGCTCTTTCTATATCAAGCAGCTCCAGCTCAACAGTCAGGGTCACTGAGCTATTTATGTGGCACACGGCCTTGCTGTGGCATGCATAAGCCCATCTTCCCTGTAGTCACTCGCCCCTCTAGGCCCATGAATTTGGAAGGTGCTATTCTTTGGCTTATTGAGCCAGTGACTGGTGACAGTGGCCAGCAATGCTCTGCTGTTGACCATGTTGAACAAGAACATGGCAGTTCTGAACAGGGTACAGAGATAGCAGGCTTTCTGGAGGATCCACTCTGAGACCACAATAGGTCAGCAACACAGAGCTGGAGTTCCTTTCCATCCAGTCCTGGCTGTCTTCCTACCTGCCCAGCTCTGCTCTTCCATGTAGTATTCAGGGTGTTTCAGGCCTGGTCTCACCTTGTATATGATCGTTTCCAACTAAAGCTCTCCTCCAAATTCAAAGTGGGATAAACCTCCCGCTTTGGCGGGGTTCCCCAGCACCGCCGGCCCCCTAGGAAGGAAGCCCGGCGCCTGCTCAGCCCTTTCAGCTTCTCTTCCATCCGAAAGAATTCAGCTAAAGCCCGGAAGGACTCCAAGATGACCTCGTGGCTCCAGGCAGGCAAGGGCTCAGGACGCAGGAAGCCGCAATGGCCTCCCTGTGGACTAAGCAGCAGGAAGAAGTAGGGGTTGCTGTGAAAAAGTTCGGTGGGCAGTGTGTGGTGAGGGGGCCCGCACACCGGGTCGTCAGCGCTACACACACACAGCACAGGTACAGCAGCCTCATCCACATCCCGGAGGGGATCGTTGCGGTCCCAGTAGGTGTCCCAGCTGATGGGGAAAGTCTTGGTGTGGCAGAAGAGGGTCTCCTCAAACTCACGCAGAGAACGGCTCCTGAATAGCCTGCTGGTGTCCACCGTATCCTCCAGGGCCGTGGCATACCTGACAGCAAGAGGAAGTTGAGTGGGGGGTGTCCGAGAGGAAGGAAGAACCAGAATTCCAGCTGACAGCAGAACTTATAGCAGAACAGCAGGCAAGGCCATCCATTGGCTTCTTGGGGGAAATGGGAAGGCCTAGCCATGTACACTGTCATTCTTTGGAAGCAAAAACCAGTTCCTCCTTCTTTTCTATGTCACAGGGCCCAGCAAGGGCTGTTATTTGTAGCATTACCCACCCAGCCTTGGGGATGCCATCTGACCCCACAGATGCTGCTTTACACAAAGAACCCTCCCCCTCATCTCAACTTCTGGCCCTCTCTAGGGTACCTGCTAGAAGCCTACCTAGGACAAACTCCAGTCTGTCACTGTGATGTTGTGGGTTAAGTGGCCATTTGGAATGCTGGCATCCCATATCAGACTGGTTTCAGTCTTGGGTACTCTACTCCCAATCCAGCTTCCTGCTGATGCACCCGGAAGGTAGTCCCCATCATGGGAGGCCTGGATGGAGTACCTAGCTTCTGGCTTCAACCATGGCCCCGTCCGACTGTTGTGCCATATGGGGAGTGAAGCAGATGCAGTAGATGAAAGATAATCTCAGTCTCTATTTTTCTTTTATCTCTCGCTTAATCTCTCTCTCACTCTGGCTTTCAAATACATTGATATTTATGAACAACAATAAAAAACAACTCATGGGCTCAGGAGATCCACACCAGCAGAAGCCCCTCCCTCTCAATCATTCACAGTTTTTTTTGAATGAATGAATGTTGTTTTTGTTGTAATTCTATTCACTTATTTTAAAGCAAATGTGCTGTCTTGCAAACAAGACAAGGGCCTTGCTTAGGTGCCCCTGGGGCAGGCATTGCTGGTGGGGTCTCAGATGGCAGGCTGGTGTCAACTGGTTTGAAAAAGCTTTACTATTCCTCACTCCCTGGAGACAGCCTGGCACTGGGACAAGGCAGGTTGGATGGCAGACCAGATGCTGGCCCCTCAGCCAGTTGAATTTAGATGGGAGTCTCCTGCAAACATTCAAACATATCCCGATTTTTCAGTCCCTGGGCAATTGCTACAGGCACAGATTTCTTCCTTGCTTGTCACTTTGCTTCCCCTTACCTCCGGCTGCCAGGGTCGGTGCTGGTGGCGGCCATGTAGGGATGGAAACTATGGAAATGAAGCCAGATGAGGGCACCTTGCTCCAGGACTGTGCCAGCCCTCTGGGTGCCATGGCAGTGCTCTAGCCTATTGGCGAGTGTGGGGTTTGGTTTTTTCAGAGCAGGAGGCAAAATGGAGTCAGGAAAGAAGGAGCAGGAGGGTATGCAGCCTTGTGGGTAAGAACTTCCTCGTCTCACACTGGAGTGCCTGGGTTCTATTCCCAGCACTGGTTCCTGAATCCAGTCTCCTGTTGACGCAGACCCTGGAGACAGCCATCAAGTCTCAAATAATTGGGTCCCACAGTGTGAGAGAGTCAGCTGGAGCAGATGTCCAGCATCCAGCACCAACTCAACCTTCATGGGCATGTACGTGGCAGAGAATATCAATGGGCCAGGCTGCTCTCCATCTTTCTCCCTCTCAAACAGATTTTGTAAAATTTCATTTAAAATTTTAAATCTTTTAAAAAGATTCAGAGAGGGCCCAGGGCTGTGGCCTAGCGGCTAAAGTCCTTACCTTGAAAGCGCCAGGATCCCATATGGGTGCCAGTTCTAATGCCGGCAGCTCCACTTCCCTTCCAGCTCCCTGCTTGTGGCCTAGGAGGACAGCACAAAGCCTTGGGACTGCACCCGTGTGGGAGACCTGGAGGAAGTTCCTGGCTCCTGACTTCAGATCGGCTCAGCACCGGCTATAGGGGTCACTTGGGGAGTGAATCATTGGACAGAAGATATTTCACTCTGTCTCTCCTCCTCTCTGTATATCTGACTTTGTAATAAACATAAATAAATCTTTAAAAAAAAAAAAAGATTCAGAGAAAGAAATCACAATTGCCACCATTTTTGTGCCAGGTTCTCCCTTTCTGTTTTCTCACATAACAATCCTTTCAAAAAGTGAATTACTGTTAACTTCATTTAATTGAAGAGAGAAGTAAGGCCTGCAGGGAGTTGGCTAAATTGCTGGAAGTTCAGGATCTGAATCCAGTGGAGTGTGATCCCAGAACCCGTCTCCGTCTCCTCCTGCCTAGTCACCATTTGTGACTTCTCCTAGGAAGGGCTGGGAGTGTCACTCCCAGCTTTCCTGTTGACATAGTCTTGTTTGTCAACATGATTTCTAAAAAAGAGTCTGTTTAAATATTTTGTACTAATTGTGTTGAAGACCTATCTAGGATATGCAAAAATCTTTGTTAGGCCCAAAGAATTCAAATCAATCTTGATGGCCTCAGGCCCAGAGACTGTAGATAAACACTCTGGATAAATCATCTGCGGCAATTGCTTCCGTGGCCCTCTTGGCTGCTTTGTCAGCTACCGACCCAGTGCCAGCTGTGCTCCACTGCTGGCAGGCCAGGTGAGGCAGTTGCTAGGACACCAGAGGCCAGGCTGCCCTCTCCGCCCCATTACCCCGCCCAGCCGCAGCCCTTGCTCATGGACGGCAATGATGACCAAACCCGCCACCTGCTTCCTCTTTAGAAGAGGAATGAGAAGAAATGGCTCAAACCTCCCACACCTGCTGGCAGCCGCACCAGGCGCGGGCTCCGGGTCGCCCACAACCCCCGAGACCCACCTGCTGAGGGCAATCTTCTGCTGCAGCAGAAAGCCGCGCTCATAGAGCCAGGGGAGGCCGGCTTCGAACCATTCGCGGCAGCGCAGCACCGGCGAGATGCAGGCGGCGCTAGTTACGTAGCTGGAGGAGCCGCACTCGCCCAGGTAGGAGAGCAGAAGTGCAGAGCCCGAACCTTCGCTCACGGCGAACAGCGGCGCCGCCGGGTGTCGGAAGCGGATGTAGGTGACCGCTTCCTTGAGGTCCGACGGGTCCCCGAAAGCCTGCAGCCGGGGGCTGACTAGCGGGCATCCGTGGTGGCCGCGGCGGTGGAAGATGACCGGGTAGTAGCCCCGCTCCAGAGCCAGCAAGCAGAGGCCCAACACGTTGCGGGTGAGGCGTCCCCACGCGCTGGGGATCACTAGCAGTACCGCAGGAAGGCTCCCGGCGCCAGTGACCCTGCGACCCCGGGCGCAAGGTCCTACGACCCAGTCCAGGGCCACCAGCCCATCGTCTGCCAACTGCAAGTACTCTCGGGCCAGCTCCGGCCCCGGCCCAACGGGCAGCACGAAGTGGAGAAGGGTCTGCAGGTGGGGCCCGGAGAGCCAGGAGCGAGGGCCCGGCTCCAGAGCCGCCGAGCGCCGCAGCGCGCGCAGCAGGCACTGGGCCAGCGCCGACGGCTTACAGAGGAGGCTGCACCCACCGGGCAGCGGCTGGCTCCCGACGCTGAACTGGTCGGCAGGGCCTCCGCCGTCCACCTCTTCCTCGCTGTCTCGGTCCTGGGACTCCGGCAGGGTCTCTGCTCCGACGGCGCGCCTGCAAAGGCACCCGAGCCGCGGGGCGAGCAGGAGGAGCAGCGCGAGCAGGGCCAGGAACAGCGCCAGGGCAGCCCCCCACGGCGGCATGGTGAGGCCGGGAGCCCCCGGCAGGCAGCGGGCAGTCCCCTGGGCGAGCTCCCCACTCTGCCCGCGGCTGCGCCTGGCGACCCAGAGCCCTTCAGCGCCGGCGGGCGGGCGGGCGGGCACCCTTCGGATTGGCTGCAGCCCCGCGGAGGCAGCCAGTTCAGGCCCGCTATCCTCGCCCGCCCCTCTCTTCCCTAACTCCCTTCCCGGCCCTTTGTACAGCGATTGCGACAAGCAGGAGCAGAGGGTAAAAGGGGCCAGGTCCACCGGGAGGGAGAGAGGACGTGCCAGCGAGCCCGAGGCGGGGAGTGGGGAGACCCCCGAGACCAGGCTCGCGCCATCAGAGGCCCGCACCTCTCTGCCCTAAGCGGGCCGGTGGCTGGCGGGACCCTGCGTCGCTGCTCCCGGCTGCTCCGAAGCAGAAGGCAGAGGTGAACAAAACGCAGCTCCCAGCTCCGCTTCTCGGGCTTCCGCGAGGCGACTGCTGCTCGGTCACGTTTTCAGCCCTCCGTGCGGATCTCGTAGGCTCCGCCAGCCCCCTCCACGGCCCGGTCTCGCGGGGGCGGTGTGGGCCAAGAAAGGAATCGTGGGCGGAGGCAAGGGTCTCCGGTCCCGACCTCGGGTTTGAGGGTGCCAGCACCCGGGCCATGTCCCGCTGGCTCCAAGAGGAGGCGATCCCCCTCCGGGAAGGCCTCCCTCGAAGAAGTGGCCCCCGAGAACGAGTGGAGGGAAAAGACGCCCTCGGGTGCCCTGTGGTAGAGAAGGATGGCGCGTCTGCCAGCGGCGAGGTAGGGGCAGACACATACCCAGCCTCTTCCTCCGCTCCACTATTGGGATGGGGGTGAGAGAAGGGCAGGTGACCCCTGCGGGCCGGCGGCAGACGGGCCCTTGCGGCATTCTGGAGTTTGGGGCTGGACTCTCCACCCACGTCCCCCGTCTTCCTTCAAAATCCTGGAGAGGGCACCAGAGCCGCCGCCCCACTGGTGTGGGGGAAGCCCAGCCAGTGCATCCCTTTAGGGCGCAGCCTTGGCGCTTCGCCACCACTATCTGTGAGCCACCTCTGGGAGAGCGACGAGAGCAGGGTGTTGGGGGTTCAGACTGACCGAGGTGAGGAGCAAAGCACTCCTCAGGCCAGCTCGGGCCTCCTCTGGACCAGGGACGTGGGCAGCCCGATTTGCAAGTGTGGGAGCCTGGTGGGCTGGAAAGTGAAGCCCTGGAGTCGGGACCCTCTTCCCTGGGGCAGGTCGAACTTGGTGCTCCTGCTCCTCTGCCGGCTGCAGGTCACAGACGTGTGAGCGGGTGAGCCAGGGGTGCACGCTAGTCTCCTCGCCTGGACCGCCCAGTCCCCAAGGATCCCGCTTCTCCCCCTCTGCCCCGCTCCAGAAATCCCACCCAGGCACTGCTGCTGCGCCTTGCAGACCATGGGGCCACCCGTGCTGGCACGAACCCTCAGGCCAGGGAGTGAGCACCTGCCTTGTCCCGCTGCCCCTTCAGCCTCCCCAGACACAGCACCGAACTTTTCCAACTTCGGCCTTAGGACGCGTGCGCGCACACTCGGCTGCTGGGGGCGGGCCGGGGGCGGGGCGAACGCAGCCCGGGGCGCGCGACCAGGGTCTACGTGGGCGCGCGGGCGGCGCAGGGGCACAGGGGCGCAGGGGCAGGGCGGGGCGGCGCGCGCTCCCTCGCGGGCCCCGGGGTGGGCTGGGATGGCGGCCGCGGCTCCTCCTCCTCCGCCCCAGCTGCTTCTCCTGGCAGCCCTGGCGGGACTCTTGGGTCCCAGTGAGGTAAGGCAATCTGCTCCCGGGAAGCCTTCGGTTCGGGATCTCAAAGCGCTCTGCCAAAAGTTCGCCATGGATGGAGTGGTGCGCCGGCAGGGGACGCGGAGCTCCCAGGCTGGCAGGCTGGGCCTGGAGAGGGGAGAGGGCAGGGGCCTCGCTGAGGGCAGCGCCCTAACTTTGCGCTTTGGACCCACAGGTGGTGACCGGGCCGGCGGAGGAGGCGGGAGCCGATTGTCCCGAAGGCCTGTGGCCTCTGCCCCCACAGGTAAGAGTCCTGGAAGGCAGAGGGTCAGAGGGGCGTGAAGAACCGGGTCCTGCGCGCCCCTCGCCTCGGGCGACCCCTGCTGGTTCCTCCTGCCCCTCCCCCTGCCAACTTTTTCATCCTGGCGTGGCCCTTGGAGCCTCCTGTCCCTGAATCACACAGCTTCCTGAGAGCCCAGCAGTTCTAAGCTGTCTTCTTTGTCCCTGTATAGGTGTCCCCCAGGGTGATCTACACACGTGTGAGCCCGGTGCAGGTGAGTCAGTCCACACCCACCCACAGTGTCCACACTTGCCCCCACGGCCCCAGCTCCTTGCGGGCTTCCCCTGCCGGCCCTGGCATTAGCTCCCTGGTTTCCACTTGCCTCAGGAAGAGGCATGGTTCCTAGTTGCCTGCGCAGCACAGGGAGCCCAGGCCCTGGTAGTCCACAGAGCTGTATGAGCTACTGTATTTTTACAATAAAGATTTATTTGAAGAGGGAGAGAGAGCTCTTCCATCCACTGGTTCTGTCCCCAGCTGGCTACAAGAGACAGGCCCAGGCCAGGTACAAACCAAGAGTCAGGTACTCCATCTTGGTCTCTGACGTGAGTGTCAGGGGCCTGAGCCCTTGGGCCGTCGTTAGTAGGATTGGACTTGAACCGGCCTGCTGATGCGGGTGGACGTGGTGTCCTGTGAGAAGATATGTGAGCAGGAAATGAAGCGTTTCACAGCTGCTGGTCAGGCATGGGCTGTGTGCGCTCAGGAGTGTGACCTAAGTTTCACACCCCCAAACCGTGGGGTCAGCTCGCACTCCTCCTGAGGATTTTTTGGGAAAGATTTATTTTTATTAGAAAGTCAGACTTATAGAGAGGAGAGACAGGGATCTTCTATCCACTGGCTCACTCCCCAAGTGGCTGCAATGGCTAGAGCTGAGCACATCTGAAGCCAGGAGCCAGGAACTTCTGGGTCTCCCGTGTGGGTGCAGGGTCTCAAGGTTTTGGGTCGTCCTTGACTGCTTTCCCAGGCCACAAGCAGGGAGCTCGATGGGAAGTGGAGCAGCTGGGACACTAACTGGTGCCCATATGGGATTCTAGAACTTGGAGGTAGAGGATTAGCTTGTTGAGCCATCGTGTCAGCCACTCTGAGGATCTTTTCTACCCGAGGTCAGAAAGCTGCTTCGGCCCAATGAGTTTTCCCTCACAGTAGCTCAGGTCTTGGGATCCCGTCTTCACTTCCAGAGATGCTGCCTTGTGCCAACCCCTTCAACTCCTTCCCTCCAACAACCCTGTCTCCTATTCCCCACCTTCTTGTGTCATATGCCCCCTTGCCTGTCTTTGTAGGCCTTAAAGTGGCCTTTTCTGACCTCTCTGAACCTTCGGTTCCTCTTGGTCGTGCTGGCTTGCTGGGCGTGCAGGTGAGCACCATGTTTCCTGCTGCCACCACAGCCGTGCGCCTCTTCACTGCCTGCACCTGTCCTACCTTGGGCTGAGGCCTGCAGTTCCCTCCCCTCCTGGCAGCCATCCCTGTCCACCCTCTCAGCTCAGCGACATCACTTGCTCCCAATGGCCTTTCTTCACACCTCCTGAATTCCCAAAATGCTCATAACCTCCTCTTACAATTTCTCAGCTGCCTTTTGTCAGTTTCCTCTTTGTGCAGTGCTGGGACCCTAAGTGTCTTGCACCTTTGGTCAGCCAGCAGAGCCAGTTTTCTTGGGTATCTGCCATGGCGTGTGACAGTGGTACCCAGGTTCCTTCGTCCTTTCTTGGGCCATCCTGGGACTCCTTAGGAGAGGAGCACTTGGGCTTGTCTGGGAGGGACTTGGGCCTGAATTCACATCTCTGCCTTTCGTGCAGCCGGAGGCGATTGCCTTCCTCTACCACCCCTGTGCCCATCCCTGGCTAAAGCTGCAGCTCGCCCTCCTGGCCCATGCTTCTGTGCCCAAACCATGGCTCGTCCCTGACTCCAGCCTCCCACGGAACCGGGTGAGTGGCTGGTGAAAGATGGGGCAGGAGGAGAAGTATCAGGGCCTTTCTCCCCTCATCTTCCCCCATCCCATCCACTTCTCCTTTCATAGCCTGTGGTACTGAGAGCCTGGGGGCTGGCTCTGGAGATGGCATGGATACAGCCATCCTGGGCTGCCCACTGGCTGAAGAGGAGGCGGTGGAGGAAACAGACGAAGAAGAAAGTGTGGTTCCATTCTGAGGAGCTTCCTGGGCCTTTCCCCCCAGGCCCCGGGAGGCCATGTGTGAGCAGGTGTACAACACAGGTGAGGCATGCTGGCCATGCTGCTCAGACGGCTGGGTTCCCTGAGCAGAGCAGGGGTGGTCACCACTGGCTTTTCTCCTCACAGGCTCTGACGCTGGCTCCCAGCTGGTCACCTCCTCATGCAGAGGTGACATGGAGAGGGCCCAGGCGGCCCTCACGCAGTGAAGCCAAGAGGCGGGGGCTGCGGGCAGCCCTTGGTCCCCAGCCCACTCCTCCTTCAGGCTTGAGATTTCGCTCCCCTTCCCCGAAGACCTGGAAGCTCCAGCAACCAGAGACGCTGGGGGCCTTGGCTAAGGGGAGCAGAGCTCCTGGGGTGCCTGCTGTTCCCTCGCTGCATGGGGAACCCAGCAGCAACGCCAGCTCGGGGACAGGGGTTCAGGAGCCTACTGGGAAGGGCAATCCCAGGGGCTGTGCCTGTCCCACCCAGGCATCCCTGGCCCCTCGGGCAGCGGCACCTCCGCGGGCAGCTCAGGTTCCCACCCCACGCACTGAAGAGGCCGCGTGGGCAGCCATGGCCCTGACCTTCCTTTTGGTGCTGCTCACCTTGGCCACACTGTGTACACGGCTGCACCGGAACTTCCGCCGGGGGGAGAGCATCTACTGGGGGCCTGCCGCTGACAGCCAGGACACGGTAGCCGGTGAGAAGCCCCTCCTTGCCCAGCCTCTTCCCTCCCTATCACCCTGTGGTGGCCATGGGCCTGGCCATGACCGCTCCCCATCCTGCCCCTGCAGCGGTGCTGAAGCGGAGGCTACTGATGCCCCCGCGCCGGAGCAAGCGCTCACGACGGAGACCTTTACTCCCGCCCACACCGGACAGCGGCCCGGATGGGGACAGCTCTGACTGACCTGCCCCAGCCCCGCCACTGGCCACTGCAGCGTCCTGGGCTCCTCTGCTGGGAGGCTGCGATCTCGGCCACGTGGACGGCACGCGGCAGCGCCCCCTGGCGGCGGACTAGACCGCTCCTCCTGGAGTGTTTTTACTGCACCCCGCCCCCATACTCCCATTTCTAATTAAATTATTTTAGTAGAGTCTGGAGTCGGGCTTGCACCTTCCCCGCACTCTCCCATCCGATGCAGTAGATTTTTGTTGGGTGTGGGGTGCGATGGAGGTGCCAGTTGCTCAGACATTGCTTGCTCCAAGCTTTTTTCTAAAAGGCAGATGTTCCCCGCGCGGCAACAGTCCCTGCATGGAGCCTCGGCAACTGGCTTCCGGCTATCAGGTTGGTGTCTGACTTCCCCCACAACCTCCCACTCCCATCCTAAGCTGTCAGGAGCAGCACATGGTCACTTATTTATTTTTTGATACAAATGTACATGACACACGTCTTGACAGTCAGCCCACCACCACACAGGTAGGGCCTGGCCCCCAGGGGAGAAGAGGCAGGATAGGACAAGAGCTGCTGGGCGCTGTCAGCCTCTGCAGGCTGCAGTGGTGGTGGTGGGGACCCAGGCCTCTGGAGAGTGGGAGCACAGGAGGTGCAGGTGGTGATGGTGAGTGCTGGCCTCCAGAAGGTTCTGGGCAGGGGCTCTCAGCTCCACAGGCACCAGCTGCATTAGGGACCCCGGGGAGCCAGCCCCAGGCTCAAGTCCTCCGCTCCAACCTGTGCACCTCCCGCTCCATAGGGAGGGGGAGGTGGAGGGAGGGAAGTGGTTTTCTTGTTCTCACTTCATGGAGAAAAGGGGGCAGTGGGGGCAGCAGTGAGAAGAGGCATAGGGCAGGACTGCAGCTGGAAAGCCTTTCAGTCCCAGTGCTGACCCCCTCAGTGCCCCCCAGCTCCAAGTGGGCCAGGCCTCCGGAACGGCACTGCCGCCCGCACACTCACACGCAGGCACGCAGGGACACTCGGTTACCACAAAGTTAAAATTAAGGGAAAGAGAGAGGAGAGAGAAAAAGGTTTCCAGTGTTTGCTGCTTGGGTCCCCGGCACACAAGCTGGGAGCCTGTGCCCTTGGCAGGGGCCGTATGGCATGGAAGGGAGAGCAGCAAGGGAGCTGGTGGCTACAGGGCAGGGACATCCAGAGAGGTTATGTACAGAGGAGGGGATGCCCCCGCTCAGCCCCCCGCAGGGCTGAACTGGCTCATGGGGGTGGGTCGGTACAGGGGGAGCTGCCCCCTTGGAGTGTCCACCTGACCCTCAGCTGAGGGGCTGGGAATGATACCTGGTGGGCCCCTGCACACTAGAGGGGAGGGGCTATGTACAGGGGAGAGGTACATGGAATGTGGGGGACAGAGGTCCTGCCACCTCACCTCCCTATCGTGGGGGCTCGAGGGTGGGCACCAGGGCGCCTGGCTGCCAGTGGAGGGGGGCAGCGCTAAGGGCACTTGTGCCAGTGGCTCTGTTGAGGGGGTAGGATTAGAGTCTGGAGTGGCCTAGCTCCCGTGGCCAATGAGGTCCCAGGGTGCAGGTACAGGTGTTGGGAGTGGTCACTGCTTCTTCTCTCGGGTGGTGATGGTAACCAGCTGCTTGGCAGCCTTGGCAATGTCATAGGCGCACTGGATCACCTGCTGAGTCAGCAGCTGGAAGTCCACAGGGACGCCAGGCTCTGGTGGCACCGTCTTCCGGCACTCACTCTGCAGCCGGTATGCACTGGCGTTGAGCAGCCGGAGCGAGCTGCGCACAGGCTCCAGGGCTGGCCTCTGCAGGGAGACAAGAGGCCCGGCTTTGGACTTCCCACCCAGTGTGTCTGTGGCTGTACCCCAGCAGGTGCTGCATCCTCCCGGCCTGCCCTTTACCCCAGGGCGCTTGTACCTTTGGGAAGAGAGAGGCCATCTCAGTCACAGCCAAATGGATCTTCTCTGAGCAGGGCACAAAGCTAGGGGCAGGGAAGAGACTCGTGGGGTCTCGGAGGTTTCCAGGCACAGTGGGAGCTGCCTACTCCCTGTAGCCCAGCAGGAGCCCACAGGCCTGGCCTACCTGTCATGCTTAAACTCCTGGGCCGCGCGCAGCAGCTCCTGGATGTTCTTGGTGACCTGCTCCGTCTTGAGGATTACGTCCTCTGTGCTGGGCAGCCCAGGCTCCAGGTCCCCGTCCAGGCTCTCGAGCTCTGGATGCAGGTCGTCCTCCTTGCCGAGCTCTACAAACCTCTTCCCTTCCAACCTGTCCCGGAGCCACATAGCAGAGATGGTCAGCCCCAGGGCTGCTCACCTCCACAGACCTAGGCAGGATGGGGGTGCTGCTGGGAACCCCAGTGCCTCACCCCAGAAGTGGGTCCCCGCTTTGCGTGTTCTCATAGTCGCTGTCGGCGCCGCTGCCATGGCGTGAAAGCTTGCTCTGGGGGCATGAGGAGTGGGCATTGAGTGAACATGCCAGGGTCCCCTCCCATTGTCACCCTCAGCCTCTGCCTCGGGGCACTGGTCAAGCATGCCTTACCGCATGGCGGCTTCCTTCCTGGGAGCTGGACAGCAGTGGGGAGGAGGGAGTGAAGGGCACAGCCGAGGTGGATACCCCCTTCCGGATCTGAAAGTCAAGGCCGGGCTGGAATCGGCATCTCCGCCTGCTTCCAGCTAGGGTGGGGATCAAGGCCACTAACCATCTTCAAATTTGGGTGTCCACCTGAGAGCCTGATTCCCCCTGGGGCACAGGACCTGGCTGTACCCACCTTGCCCAAGCTCCACTTACTCGATAAGGGCCAGCAGGGACGTGGACTGAGTACATGGCGTCCTCCTCGAGTTCCTGGTGGGGTCAGCACAGTGGACATCACGGCCAGGCCCTGGGGTGGGCAGGTCCCCCTCCCCACTTCTCCCCATGCAGACTGGAGGCACCTACAGTGCTGTGGAAAGGCTGCAACCGGCTGGAGAGTTCGTCCCCAGGTGGACCGCCGAAGGGCTTTAGGGCAGAGCCGGGTTCGTACATGGAGAAAGCCTGGCGGTCCCTGCGGTGAGTGCTACCGCCAGGCCCCATGGGTGTGTGTTCTGCCCGGTCGGTGGGGAGCGGGGGTGTGGGTGCTGGCCCAGGAGGCTGCCGGAGCTGCAGGTTCTCTGCCTGCAGCTTGTGGATCTAGGGGCAGATACAGGAACATCATACATGGGGTCCTGGCAGAGGATGGGGTGCCCGCCCCTGTGGCTGTGGTCCTGACCTCTCTTTGCAGCCGCCGTAGCTCCTCACTTAGGCTGCTGTTAACCTTCATGAGCTGTTGCACCTTGGCCTCTGAGGTGGCCAGAGCTTTCTTCAGCTCCAGGTACTCCTGCAGCGTCACAGCCCCGTCGGACAGGTCTGAGGAGTCCATGCTCTGTAGGGGTGGTGGGACCAGTCAGTGGGTAGTGCACCGGGTACCCCTGGGCTGGGTCAGGGTTGGGAGTTGGGTGGGGGGTAGTGCTCAGACCCGGGCGCGGTTGTTGCGGGCGGCACCGGTACTACGCAGGGGTTCCTGGTCCGTGTCCTCATCCGAGGCCACGCTGTCATAGTCATGCTGGTCGTCGAGGTCACTCTGACTCCGGGCGGAGAGCTCGAGGTTGTCTGTGGGAGCAGGGTCAGTCACTAGAGGTGCCCCACCCTGCCATGCCACACCTGCCAAGGGAGCCCAGCCTACCTGTGGGGCTGCTGAGGCTCTTGCCCTGCTGCCTGCGCTTGGCCTCGCTGAGGATGTCAATGATCAAGGTGGCAAACTCCCGTGCATTGAAGCGGGCCAGCTTCTGTCGCCCCTGGGAGGCAGAGAGGCCCAAGCTGGCACCCAAGGGACAGGGGGAGGGGGACATGACCACGAAGCTGTGCCCTGTTCTCGGGCAGAACCCCAGCTGGCTTAGAATGCCACAGGGAGCTCCTTGGGAAGACACAGGGATCCCCAGTGGAGGCTGCTCCCCATACCACCCCCTCTCCCAGTCCACCCTCAACCCCCTGACCTGGTTCCGGGTAGCTGAGTACTCGGGGTTAACAGGCAGGAAGGGCACGGCACTGCGTTCTGTCACCAGCGTGCTGTGGTTCTGGGTAGCCAGCCACACTGAGGGGGAAGGACACTGTGCCATCATCCAGGGTGCAAAGTTAAGGCTCCCCCTGTCCTCCAAGCCTGAACACAGGTGGGGGGCTCTAGGCCCAAACAGGGCAGGGCAGGGCAGACTAGTCGAGAGGACACAACAATACCTTGCCAGGAAGGAGCAAAGTGGGGGCAGCCAGACAAGGAGGGGCTGGCCAGGGGAGGGAGGAGCAGGTTGCCTTGTTGCCAGGCCTGCACTGGGCCCCTCTGGGAAGCTGCCCAACCTGGTGGGCTCACTCATGGGCCTCTAAGCAGCCCCCGTCCCAACACTGCCCAGCTTACCGGCATCATTCTCTCTCCGGTCCACTTCATCATAGACGTCCATTGCAAGTTCCTCAAAAAGCCGGTTGCTAAGCTGCAGGCCAGGGCAGTGGGGACCAAGTTTTGTCAGATGGGGGACCCCAGGACTGGTAGGACCAGTTCCCTGGGGGAAAGGCTTGAACCCCTGCTGCCACCCAGTCCCTGTAGCCTGAGACCTGGGAGTGGAGGTAGGGGCCGTGTACCAAGCTCCAAGGAGGGAGAGGACAGAGGGAGGCAGAGCAGTCAGTTCTTTGCAGGACAAAGGTGGGGACAAGGCCCGGGAAGCCCTGGTGCTGGAAGGCAGAGCTGGGGAGAGCGGAGGTCTGGAGAGACCTCGTGGGCTGGGGTGGGGCTCACTCATCAGGGTACTCACTGCCTGCAGCTTCTTCTTTGCAGCTTTGGCCAACTCAGACAGGTCCAGGCTAGGGACGAGGGGGGGAGATAGAAGGGAAAGACAGAGTGAGAGGTGACCAGGCCAGATGGCAGCCTCCTTCTAGACATGCAGGAATCCCACGGGGATAAGACCCCAGCCGCAGTGCTGCACGCCCGCCCCCCACCCCAGCCTCCACGGCCCACATGCTGGCGGGCTCAGTGTACCTCTGAGACATGCACTTTTGCCGAGATCTAAGTCCAGAGGAAGGCAGCAGAGGGAAGAACAGGACAGAGGCAGCAATTACGCCTCAGGTGGCGCTCACACAGCGCTGCGCACACGCACAGCCTCGACTC